AAAGGTCATAATAAAGAATTTGCATGTTTTCATTGCAGACATTTTAAAGTTTTGGAAGCCGATATCGATGATGAAACTGCAGAAACTTGAAACTCAGTTTGCAGAGTTACAGACTTCCTGCTATACTTTATTTTTTGCATGGAAAACTACAAAACGTCGTTATTTCTCTAAAACTTCAGTGATTTTTCTTCTCTATGAAAAGGATGTTTTATGCTAGGATGTTAGTCTAGTCTCCTTTCAAAAAATAAAATGGGAGCGGCAGTTTTCAGACCCTGCAACAGATTTTTTGCAGTTTCACCGTTGATATAAGCTTGACTAACATGGCCCATTGGCCCCTTTCTGGTAGCAAAATATTGCAACTCTTATTGTAGGATTTCCTGATGTGGAAAAAATTAGGACTTGTAATCTACATCTATTTCAAAAATCATCATTTTAAAGTGGGCATAGATTACAAGCCCTGCTACTCCAATAGGAAAAATTGTTCAAAAATGACTGATGGATTACAAAACATTTCAACAGGAACCAAACTGAAAAAGAACCATAAATTTGATTTTAGAATTCAACAGTCTTTCCTCCAAGTTGCGAAGATAAACTAATAAAAATGTATTTCTCGAAGCTCTAATTCAATGTTCGCAGCAAATAAAAAGTGTAAGACAGTTTACATACACCAGTATAAAAAAACTGAAAATTGCAGAACATTCTCACCTCCCTTTTGCGTATTTATGCAGTACAATAGGATTCCATTAAGTGTGCAAAAATGTATACCTTTTTTGGAATTTTGGGTGACGAACTGACTATTATTTTCAGCTTAGTTAAAGGCGGATCTTGAATCTTATATGCTCAGCTGTTATGCTTCCTTCTCACGTAGCATTTCTCAATGGAAAAATCGCAATTTATTGCGACTTAATTGGCGATAAAGTCGTTAGGATCATCAACATTTGAGCGATTATTCTCAATCTTATCGTGATCGCCCAGCAATTTAGCACGATATTATCGCGATAAAAATAGCGATATATGGCAATTTAATCTCGACTTAATCGCCAAATATTGATTGCGATTTTATCGAACCAAAAATTGCAATGTGTAGCGATGTCATTGTGATATATTGCAACTTTTAATTCAATAATATGGTGATAAATTGCCACCAATATGATCACAATAATCGACCAATAAAATCGCCATTTATCACAATTGCTGCTACCTGGGTTGCAGTCGGGCACTCAAAGACTCAGGCTTAAATATGAAGATATTTTTTCAAGTCCGTGAAGTTAAAATTGGTAGAAAGCGAATTTTACAAACAAAGAATACAGAGTGATTACAGGAATGCTTACCTGTTGGACGGAATAATTGAATAATCTTGTGGCACTGCCTTCATGATCAAATGTAGTAGGATTTACTCGCAAACTACGAGCTTCAGTCTCCAATCCAATTGGTCTTTCGGATAAATCATTAAAATTTAATTCCTCTTCCTCTGGACTTGATATTGCCGGGGAGTCTCGACTATTAGAGGCTCGATTCATTCTAGTGGCAGGGTTTAAATTCGTATTCACAGAATCTTTTTGTGGTGAATTTTTTGTCGAAGACTTTTGCGATTTAGCTGACGTATTTGATATGGCTTCCACAGTTTGGAATTCAGAGTAGTCAAACTTTGTGCTGCCCATGTCTTGCGAGGTTTTTTCAATTGGCGATTGTGGCTTTTCAGTCATGAAACATTCATCCTCGGTCTTCTTTGGGGAGTTATCAAGGTTTGGTCTCTCATGAGCTGGAGTATCATTCAAAAAGGACAGAAGAAACTTTTTGTTGGAGTCGCTATTGGGGGTATGAACAGTAGTTTCCGACACTTTCAGGTGATCTGCAAGTATTGGATCAAGTATTTGCTTAATGGATTTACCAGGGTTCATGATCAATTTAAAGTCGTTTGAATTTGACAAAAGCATTTTTTTAAGTAATGTCGAGTCCTTCTTTTGAGTAGGTAGAACTCCTTTGACTTCTGGAATCTCTTTATTTGGAATACTTTGCTTTTCAACGAGTTCAGGTTCCTTGGTATCCGTGCTTTCACTTCTTTTCTGGACGAGTTTTATCCTACTTGTATTAAGCATATCATTGTCTAATTCTCTCAGTGTGATTTTTGGCTGTTTTATCATTCCCTCTGTGTCCGAACCGGAATGGCCGACATCGGAATCAGGATTCGAGCTTGTCTTCAAACGCTTGACTTTCTTATCTGGTAAACTTTTCGGGTTTGCTGGTCTCTTACCTACAGAGTCCTGTGAAATATGAAGATAAGGTCTTGCATTATTAAATAACAAAAAGAGAAATAACATTACTCTACAGTAAAAAAAAAAATTGGGATTTCATATTATCACCAAATCACCCATTACTATATTGTCACTTAAAGATAGGGTCATTTGCAGGTAAAAGAGAATACTATTGTTAAAGGAGGGATTTTCAACTTTGGCCTAATGCATTCTGGATACGATCAATATATTTCAAATTTTAACCATATGGTGGATTATTTTAGGAAAATTGAAATTTCAGTTAATAGATAAATCATTACCACCTAAGAAATCTCGTGACAAGTACTTTTCATCCTATTCATGACCAAAATTCATTTTCATATCAATATTATTGGCTCAAAGATGTTGGTAAACCTAGATAGGCTAATGGCATGAGTCAATTATAGACCAAAAAAAGACACAATTACGATTAAAATGAAAATTATTACTTTTAATACATTTGCATGTTTTCAGACGCTTAACTGCATCATAGCATCCATACATCTAAAATAGCTGAGAAGAATTTGATTTTGAACCTTGGCATTCTTTATACTTTCTTTCTATTCAGACTTACGTCTACTAAATTGGGACTTTACCTGCTCATTGTTTCCACTCTTTTTGTTCTCTGGTGTTGACTTAAGGGCTGGAACAATGGTGTTTCGAGCTTGCAGTTTCACTGGATCATACTATGGACAAAAATTAAAAAAAAGTGGATCAGAAATTAAGATCGTGCAAAATCTCTGAATGAGAATAAATGAGCTTTTTTCAGTTAATTTTTCTGTGGTAGTTAAAATTACCAAGTTATACACAGTGCCTTTTAGATACTTGCATGATAATTTTGCGATGTAAAAGATTATCAAGCAGGAAATAAGGGTTGGTTGTCAGCTACTGATTTGATCAAAAGGTGAATAATCACTTTAATCAGGATTAGAATGAATCCAACAGATTCAGAGTAACTCATTAATCTTGGTCTTGGAAAATGAAGGATGGATTTAACTGAAGAAAGACAGAAATCTTAAAAGAACCAAACGTTTGCAGAAAAATGAATAAAAATAAAAACTAAGGATGAGAAAATCCAAACGCATAATAAATTCTTCCCATTGGTCATCTATGCCATCAAGCGCTGGGATGTTGGGAGCGCCTCAACTTAAGAACAAGTTGTAAGGCTGGGGGTAAGATTTTCAGAGTTTGCATTACCCACATCATACATACACCTTTCAAAATGAAAGTGGTTTTTCGATCAAACCTCCATAAAGATTCAGTAAATCTCAGAACTTACCACAGATGTATTAATAATAATTACGAAGAACTCAAGAAATTATACCGCTTCAAATACAGCATTAAAACCCCCATAAAGATTAGTTGCGGTCTCAAGAATTCTCAAACTCTAGTTATCAGTTTTCAGTTGTTAAAAATATTCATATTTTTTATGCACAGCTCATATGGGCCTTGCCTTTCAAAGAGCAGACCTTATTAACTAATTTAGCCAGTCTGATGCCTAGATTAATATAAAGGAACAGTTTGCAGAATAAAAACAAAAAGTCGTGAATAATAGTCACAGTGAAAAAGAAAATTAAACTGACTGTGGCAAGACACTGAGTAAAAAGTCTTGAAAGGGAAAAGTTACTGTGGAGAGAGGTTGCAACGGAAAATTGTATACGATGAAATTTTGAGCGGTTAAAAGTCCTGCGGTTAAATGTCACTACACTACCTGGAGTAACATAATGTCATTGCACGCACAGTTATGAAACAAGATTATTTACCTCAGGCAGCATTGATTGTAGATGTTCCTTGTAGTTATCGGGATTAAACTCGGTTTTGGTGGGAGCATACACAAATTTTCTAAACCGCTCCATTAGGAGGCCAACATGCCTTTGAACTTCAACAAGGGCATTTTGGTAACTTTTGAAGTCTTTTGAGTTGGCTAGATGTACTTCTACAGGACTTGTCTTGCTAAATAGGTAGATGGACTTGGCAGGAACCCATGCTCTGAAAATAGTGCATAAGAAAAATTAATGGAATACATTATTATGTTAGTTCGGCTGATGGTAGAAATCAAAGTGGGACTCTAGTCCATGAAAAAATTTTGACTTACCAATACATTTTTCCTAAGATGAGAAAAATGAATCCTAATACCTAAATTTGCACCTTTTCTGGTAATCCATTCAAACACGTCAAAAAATTTGCAGGATCAAATAAGTAGATTTAAATTTTTGATTTGACTAAGGCAAGCCTTCCTAAAAATGACAATGATGGAGTTTTTAGCCATCGTGCGTAAAAAGTTCAGCTTAAAGCTGATATCTCATTACAGAGGGAAAAAGCTCACACACAAGCACAATTTTCCCTCAAAGAGCTACGCTGTTTGGAGCAACACTCGTTACGTCCATTCATTTCCATTCAAAAACTCCATCATTGTCTTACGACCTGTGCGTTTACCGCAATCAGTTTGGGTTTCCTAAAAATGCTCCAACATATCTGAATGAATAAAATAGAGAATTTGCAGGTGTCTGAAATTTGATGAATTCCATTTTTAAGTGGAAACTACTGAGTGGACTGAACACGAGGATACCCCTGGTTCATGAATTGAACAATTATTCGAGAAGATATGACAAAATGATCTAATCTGCTAAAGTACATGTTTTTAAATGGGTTATTCGGCCTGATGACGTCACTAGGTGGTGCATTTTCTCACTTTTAAATCTATGTATTTTTACACTATTTCCAAGACCGGAAAAAAATTATAAAAATTACTGTGAAATCAGCTTTTTAAGCAATCTCAGATGAAGCAATAAAAAATTTGCGTACAAATTCTCCATTACGATCAGACAGGTTTTTTATCAGTAGTAAAGTGATAGGATGCAGGGTAGCAACTACCACTCAATTAAAAATTGACTAGAGCCACGATAGGTGAAAATCAAAAACTTTTGAGAGTAAAGAAACCTACTGAGTACACCTCATTGATCCTGTAACATAATGGCATATCTCCAATTCTACATGAGTCCCAGGAAACTTGAAGTTAAATGAATGACAGGGCTCTTGTGAAAATAGAGATATACCCTTACCTCAGAGGAACGACGACACATCTTTCAATGAAATGCACAATATATTCAGTAATTACCTGCTGTAGTCGTTGAAAAATTTGACTTCAACTATGCAGTTGTTCTTGTTATCCATTTTCCAATGGAATACTTTGCTTGGCCAAAATGGATAGCCTTTGAATTTGGCCCAAACCAACAGATGAGGTTGCCGACAAGGTTCTAGAAAACTTTCAGAAATACTGTACTCAAAAGACTTCTTGAAACAATCTACGCATCGCTCCAGCTGGTTCATTTTACTCTTACATCGAACCAAAATAGACTTGGCAACAGCTGTTAAGCTTGAATTCACTGAAATCAAATCAAAGTACTGGATATAATAGAGATGCAACGATTAAGTCACAGACAAGAAAAGTTTCGATCTAAATTTTTGTTTCTTTACCTCTATCACACCCTTCTTTGTGATCTAATACAAGCTACAATAGATGCTTTGAGACAATCTTTACTGAGCTCAAACTTGAATCTAATTGGATGGAATTTTTTATTTTGACTGTAAACTAAACCACATAACTCCTGAACTTTCCATAAAGCAGTACAATACCAACAAAATGCCAAGGAAATCGACGCCGGCTATATTTTAATATTCTTTAATATGATGTTCCTCACGGCCTCTTGCAAACAATGAGCATTTAAACTCAAACTTTCTATGCGCCAATCTCAAGAAAAGCAAGGTTGGAAAGTGAATTTCTCTACTTTCTTACGTGCAAATTCTAACAGAGGTGTAGGACTGTTGCTATGGGTGAGTGGAGACTGCGACGCACATTGTTATTCTTTGAATAAAGAATTGGATTCTTTTTATTTGTCATATCTTCTCCGTTAGCAAGAAAACAGAGGATCTTCTCGATCGATAAAATGTTATGATAGATGTTATGGAAGATGAAAAAATAAACTGAATCAAAATTAAAACAAGAAAGGACGAAAAAATTATAGTGCGATAGACCTATTTTAGCAGAGCAATGATACGCTTTTTTCCCTGTTGTCTAAACAATGAAGTAAAAACAGTTTAAAGAAAAACATTCAAAAATCAAAAATAGTACACAAGAAAAAGCTAAAACTCAATAATTGCGACAGCATACTTACACCCATTGTATATTATACTGTTGTGATACAGCCATTTGATATCAGCAATAAATGACTCAGTAGATCCATAAAATTTATTGTCAATATTCGCTTGTATTTGGCCCAAATGGACAGGGTTCACGATATGATCTCGATAATCAGGGAACTCAATAAGATCTACAGGCTCTGTGAAAAGGTCCGCTCCTGGTAACGATGAAAGAAACTCAATTGTCCTTGTGAGAAGAGAGCAAAATTCATCAGCTGATATAAGTTTCATTGACTCTGACTGGTTTTCAAAAGACTCCATCTTAAGGCTAAGGGTGCATTCTGGGCAGGACCAATTACTTGTTTCCTGAAATAAAAAAAAAAAAAATGACTTGTATGGTGCTCAATTAAATTAGGGCAATGATAATGTTTCATTACTGAAAAGTAGATGAGGCAAAGACAGTTAGGTTTTTTTTAGAGTGAGGAAATTGTTCCATAAGAAATGAAGCGCCTCTTGCAAAAAATGCACTTTTACTGTTTATGCATAGAGGTGGCTACCGCCACCCATGGTGCATGCAAATTTTTATTTCACCAAAATAAACCAAGTAGTTGAAGGACTTGACAAATTTTTGGGGGATCGTTTTGAGAAAACTATACCACCTACAGAGGATATTTTTTGGAAAAGGTATTTGTTTCCTCCGAGATTGGGCATAAAAGACTTTTACAAAGATACTGTAGGCTAAATCTTCTTTCAATATTGGTATCATTTCCAGCTATCTCGCCATATTCATGGGTTATCGAAAAGCAGCAACACTAATATTCTTGTAGATGACGATGGCAGAGTAGAATAGAAACTGCTTGTTGCCACCTGGATGCTGAAGAAAAAATCACTTACTGCTGTATCCGTCTGGCCCCTGATACACCGTAGATGAAAAACTCTTGGACAGGTGACACAGTGTCTGGAGACATGATGTGTGTCAACAAGATGACATACCCAGCAGAAACGATCCTTGCCGTCAACAATGAACGTGTCTTCCTAATCAAACATATTTGGATGAAAGTTACATAAGGCCGAAAATGAAAAAAAAAAACATACAGAATTCATGTTAAAGGAGCAAATAAGATAAAAAATATTGGCAATAATGTTGCTGAACAAAGACAATTTCATAAGACTCAAGAAACTTCGCATTGAAGATTAGAGGAGTTTGACACAAGGATGAGTTTAAAAGTTGCTAAAAACCCAAAGCCACAAAAGTCAAGGACTAGTCAGGTAGGCATTAAAAAAAAAGCCTCAGTTTAAATTTTATTCCTTCTGACGTTTCTTTTTCAAACCACTAATGAAGGAGCCTTTGCATTTGTGTAAAACTGTAACTTTTGTTGACTTGATATCAAACTTTTCGAACGTTGGTTATATGATGACCCAACTCCAAAACCACTTATCTCAATTGCAATGCTCCAAAATTTTGTAAGAACTCGATTCTTTGGTATGAAAAAAAATTATGGGAGTCATGATACGAAATTTTACTGAAAGGCAATCAAAAAAATATCACCAAGAGCCAAACTCACCCTTTAAACAAAAAAGGTATCCATAATTTGTTTGTTTATTGGTGATCTCAAAACTTCCATTACTATAATCATTAGAGTTTCTTCTCAAGGAGACAGAAATTTATCTTCAGTGAGAAGTTTTTCCAGCATGAGGTGCTAAAACGTTAATAATTCTACATTCTCTAAGCTTTCGTATATGACCAACAAGAGTCCATCCAAGAAAGTAACCACATTAATTTGAGATAATGAGCATCGTGGTAAAAATAGCTCAATACCATCTTGAAAGTGCATTTTCTTGCTTGACAGATGCTCAGTAAACTGACACTATCACATACAGAGAATGTAAAAATTATTACCTGTGACACTGCTACTTCAGAAAGATTACTCTTGCGCGGCATATCGAATCTGGAACTCTTCCTTCGATGCATTTTCAATGCCATTTGCCTAGCATCAATCGGTTTCTTCCTTGGCCGCCCACGAGGCCTTCCTATTGCGAGAGGTTTGCCATCGCTTTTAATACGTTTGTTATCCTCTTCAGTCGTTGCTTCAGAAACAGCACTCACACTGCTATCATTATACTCACTTTCAATCTCCATATTACCTGAATTTTCATACGCAATATCCTGCGAATCTTCCTCATTCATAGATGAAGATACCATGGCCAAGAAGTTTTTCTGCTTTTGAGCAAAAGTAGGATTGTAAGAGCAGCGAGTTCGCCTGCTCATTTGACCACTTTCTTTAGTGGAACTGTTGAGAATTGACTTGGACTTATGCAAAGCATATGTTGAGGGACTTGCGTTCCTTCGAGATTTCTTATCTGTTCGCAATAGCGAATTCTTCAAAGTCTTCTTTTTTAGCTTCTTTAGTCTGAGTCCTGTTTTATCATTAAGAGCTAGTTCATTCACAATTTTTTTCCTGGAATGTTCTGGTACATTTAGAGAAACACCTTCTTTTGACATCAATTTTTTATCTATCGCATTGGTTGATCCTGAGCTCTGACTCATCTCATGACTACCTTTGAGACCATTGTACTCTTGGGGGTTTTCGGATTCTTTCAATGTAAGCGATTCTCCTCTGACATTCGGAAATACATCCTCTGCCGGCATATTGTCTTTAGTTTTAGGTTCACTGTTTCCATGATTCATTGTATTATTTAGAAAGTTTCGTGACGAACTGTCTGATGTTGCCTGAGGTGTTGAAGTTTGTGAATTACTAGCAGAATGCATGGCGGAAACAATACTCTCAACGGTTTATTTTTTTGAGCTGATCTTATCTGGATTTTCCCTCCAAAAATCAATCCTGTTGTTACTTTATCCTTCCATAATTGTGAGTATTAATTAATGATTCATCTCAAAACACATTTTTCTACAGAACCATCGGAATTGTTAGAGGAGTCAGGTTTGCTGCATGCTGTAATTTTTGAAAACGCAGGGAGTGCAATGTTGATCAACACAAATCATCATAATCTACTTAGTTACATATTTTAATTTTTCGGAGAGATGATGCGTCCCACGATGACACGGTGAGGAATTGACAGAAACTATATTGTGTATCAGTAGGTGGTAAAACTGATATAATAATATCTAATTTGAGTCCAATGTAGTTTGATAGCATATATTTATTAGTTGGTGGTGGGCAAACGTTAGTGAACAAACTGCAGATCCTAATGAGCGAATGAGTTAGACAGCTGTGCTGCAACTAGTTGTTCGATAGGCAAATGGGGTCAGAGCATAAAGGTGTAACTCTTTTAGAAGTCCTTTGGATGGTGTGTGCTGCAACAAATGAACACAAAAATAGTCAGAGAATCCATGCGTGCTTGAGATAATTATGGGGGAAATATTAAAAATGATCGAAAAGGCATAGTCTGAGAAATTAGATGGTAAGTATAACCTAGAACAATGAATGACACAATCCTTGGCATAATTACGCAATCTTTCCTGACTGGAAGCGGTGTAATATCTATCAATAGGACGTATTTACATCAAAAGGAACTACTTCCATTTTGACGAGAGCCCTGAGATATATAAGAATACATACTTATATAACAGGGCTCGCATGTCACAATAGACAGAGTTCTTTCTGCTTTAAATACATCCAATACATTCATCGGTCACAGACTTTTCAATAATATAGCTTAAAAATTCTTGTCATTACCTACTCCCAAATAGGTTATGCTCAACTTGCAAATGGCAGCCAGAAGACTACTATCGATAACATTTTTTTCACTCTCTGTCTCTGCTCAGAGGGCTTGTAGGTCTGCTAGTAAGTATGCAATTTTACTATGCCCAAGCAAGGAGCATCTATTATTCAAAGTTCATTCTCTCAGAGTTTCCCCCTTCGAGAGGCCTCATCGACTGAGCAATAATCACAACATTCCCAAGCAAAAGCTTGAGAGAGTGATGAAATAATAGAAAATTCTGATGTTTAAAATTTTGAAAAAATTTCTACCTACCCAAAAAATCTGAGTAGGTAGGAATAAATATTTTCAAAAATGTGATCCGATGAGCTATATTTAATGAGAGAGGTGTGATAATAAATTTCGGATTGGAAATTAAGAAATTATTTTTAGTGATCAAGTCAGTAACTGAAAAAAACCTTCACTACAGCGATTCCATTGGAGTCGGTAACTAACCAAAAATTAGAGGGCAAACAACTAAATTACCTAATCAAGGGCATGAGTGAGAAGGGAGAGTTAAAATAAAAAAATGAGACTAACGCAAATGACATGTAAAAAAGACAGTTAGTATTCATATAGATATTGACATTTTAAATGAGCATTTATTAGGTTCTAACATGTGATGACCTTGACCATCTATCATGCATACCAAAGTAGGAAATTGAGGACTTCGATTATCACACCTCTTATCAGAATGGCAAAGAGGACTCTGGTGATTAAATCTTATTTTATAGAATAGCTACGGGCTGTGTACCTACGTAATATCATCAATCAAGTTTTAACCTAAAAAAATTAATACAATTATAAATGATAGGAATGACAAAAAAATTATTGATTCAGACTGAAAATAAAATTTTACTGATACTGAAAAGATAGAGGATGCTGGTTCAAACCAACGATGAAGCTTGTTTGTGAGATAAATTATTCACGGGTTGAAAAAAGTCAAAGTTTTACCGTTGAGATTATTTCTAGGAACGACCAAGACAATTTTTCGATCCATGTTTACCCATGCTAGGGGCGCAATAAAATAGTAGAAATCATAAAGTAACAATTTGATCAGGGGAAAGGATAAGAAAAGTATAAATGATGAAATTTTTTTATAAAAACAGGACTTTTCGGAAAATGAATAATCTCACTTTCAACCAGAAGAAAAAGCGGAAAATGGGTTGTCAATTCGCTATTATTGCGAGACCAAGACTGATTTCAAAGTAAGATAAGTGTTGATGAGATGCTCAAAAAGTTGCAGAGCTGATTGATGTGCTTTTTAAAACTCGCCCAAAACTTACCAAAAAATATCGTTCAAATGGGTGTAAAATTTCGACAGATGGATTTCTCAGAAAAAATCCTTGTATAAAATCCTTTGTTTTATGTTCATAAATAAGCAAAATTTTCATTATTCAAATATGCTCCAACCAAGGATGGGCTGATGTTTTCACTCATCATGTAAAAATGTCCAAGGTCAGTAGGTACCCACAGCTTTTCTGGCGGACAGGTTACATATTTAAAACTTGTCGGGACCATATTACCAAATTTTCAACTGTCCAGGAAAATCTAGGAGTCAGCATTTCTGAAAAAATCTGTTCTTTTGCTGGCAACAAACATGACTGATTGTGATCTAACGCTTATTTCATCCAGACTCCTGTGCAGTTCTGTGGTATCTGCAGCAAACAAGATTCTCAGCAGACGTTAGGGGTGAAAATGTATAGGGATTTTCATTGCAACACCAAGAAGTGGATGAATGCAAATTGAAGAGACAATGTGTAATCACCTGAGCCAGACGCTGCAGATTAAGTAGATTAGCGCTTAAGATAAGTCTGATTCTTTAAAATCCAAGAGTAAAACAACCTTACCTAGGTAGGTACCTTTCAGAGTTTGGAGTTTGGTCACTTTTCACCGAGATTTGTAACCATGAATAATTATCTTCAGACCAGTTAAAGTTCAATTAGTAAAACTGCTTAATATGTACTCAAAGTCGCGAGATAAATATAGGTACGAGAATTGCGACAACTTTGTTTAAATTAAAACTTGCACTTGCAAGCGGTGTACCTGCGGTGTAAACAATGGTCATGAGTTCGATGATAAATGTGGCAAATCAGCATCATGTTAGCATAGCATTGGGAACAGTGGCACTCTCTAACGGCGAAAGCGTTATAACTCAAAATCTTACCCAACATTGATGCCGTTTCATTATAGAATAATAGCCATTATTCTATGGTTTCATCGTTTGTGAATTTGATCTGAGTGTGTGAAAAGGTGCGAGTGAGAAAATATGCTGTAAAAAATAATGAGTTTCTAGGACTTGGAATCAATCATAAAATTCAGAAAATTTCATATGCTATTTCATGACTTGTTGAAATTTTAGAATTTGGAAAACTAGGTACTTTCTAGGCGGAACCTTGGTACTTATTAACTGCGCATTTACTTGCTCTTTAATTAATCCGTCTTTTTGTTTGATCGTAATTGCGCTTATTGAAAAAAAAATGAAATGATAAATTTAAATAATTGACTCCCAAATCAAACGTTAGGTACAAAAGAGGCGATATTCTTGTTACATATTTAGGATTGATGAAGTGCTTAAGTACTTACCTACTAAAAAGTTCAGGCAGCTGCAAGAGAGTATGGGAAAATTGATTCTGCAGATGTGGAAAGAATCTAGGAGTCTACTTAGGTAGAAAAAGTGGAGAAAGTTAGGTAACTTGGGAGAGATGCTTTTAGAAATTGAGTCAATTGATTATGAGTTAAAAGTTGATTACAATAAAGAAACTTAAAAACTCTGCATATCACCCAGGGTAACATGCAGACTTGTCACTATTTTCCTTCACCTTGAAACCCAAGACATTATTAAGTTGCAAAATTGACACGACTTTCTGCTTCTGTCTCTGATGTACCTTTCCTAAAAAAATTCAGACCTGTACACTGATGAATTTTTTTAAAAATTGAATTGCTAGTGTCATCATAACGCATCTTTAGGTTGATGTAGAATTTTTAAATACAAAATGCGTGCTTTTCCTTTATTTCCTTATATTTGTAGTGATATTTTGAGGGACAGTCTACTAGAGGAAAAATCTTTTTTATTAATTTCCTAGTTTTAAAGAAGAGGATTATTCTGTAAAAATAAGAGGGTAAAATTAGTTTCTAAAATAAAAACATTGGGCGGTAGAATTATAGTATGTAAAAGTTTTTTCAAAGATAAGCCATTTATACGGGGCTGTTCAATTATAAAATACATTATGTTACATTCGGTATTTTTTCACCCTCCTCTTCGTAGTGCTTTGATGATGTGGGTCCAAATCCTTCAACACATAAAAATAAAAAGGCTTAACGCTCTCTTCAACCCCCCTCCCCTCCCTACAGCATATTTGAAGCATCTTGAAGCAGAGGGAACAAAGTCCATTTTGCTGATGAGCCCCAGATTACGTAAGAATACTAAAGTTGTGAGGTTCATCAGCAAACTGGACTTTGCTCCCTTTGCTATAAGATACCTCATTTTATGAACTACCCGTAGGAAGATGAAATTGATGGACAGACAATTCCAGATATTATGTTTTTCAGCTTCCATAGGTACACTTGAATGATGAAAAATAAATTATAGAAGTTAATTAACAGTATATTTATTTGAAAATCACATTTTTTATAACTAAGTTCAACAGATAAAATTTTGACAAGCAACATTACTAGAGAAGCAAGCTTAGAAAATTAGAGCTCAAAAAATTGATTATAAAAATATCTCGGGAAGAAAAATACAAAGTTCGTTAAATCAGGCAAATTACCTGCTTTCATACATAATCAATATCACAAAGACTAGACTCAGAGTTTAAAGGGAAACACCGCTCAGTCTAATTGAGTCTGCATATAAGGATATTTTTTTGCACTGAGACGCAGACAAGAACTATGGAGTTTCGACAGAATGAATTTATGATAACAGTTAACTAAGAAAAAAGTGATAGCAACAGACCCGGCATATTAAAAAAAAAAAAGAAAAAAAAGAAAAGAAGTTGAGTTTAATAGGATGTTAGCTAGTTCAAAAATTTGATTTTTTACAAGGGCAAAATTTTGAGCAAGGTCCTAAGCTTTTGTAAAATTATATATTACTCATCAAACATGGTAAAAAAAGGAATCTTGACGACAAGTTGGACTGCATTTTGCAATTTGGAACTATAAATTCTGACTCTCCTGGAAAAACACTTATGTGCATAGGGAAACTAATGGCACATACGTTGTTTTTAAACTGGGCTAGAATTTATAGTTCCTAATTGTAAAATGTAGTCCAGTTTACTCTGCAAGTTTGGGAACTCAGGGATATGTTTCATTCTAGACATCAGTTTGTGAGAGACAGCACTTACAATAGAGTGCACATGTCAGTGATCTAGATAAGAACAGAACAACTAGATATCAATTATTTATGAAATCGTTTATGCTTAGTAACACCATTTGCAGTATGAGAAAGAAAAGGATTTTAGCCAGGGTGTTATGGTTATAATAGTGACCAGCATAATGTTTTTTAAGTCTTTGTTAAAGTTGTTGTAGTTTTGTGGTTTTGACCCTTTTTTATGCTCTGATGATGGCCGCGAGCCGAAAAGCTTTAGCGTTTAAAATGTTTATAAAATAAATAAAGCAGTGATAACCATAACACCTTGGCTAAAATCCTTTTCTTTCTCATACTAGATATCAATTGTCTGGCGGGTGACAATCATTACGGATTAGCTTGGATCGGTGGAAGATTTACTCTGGAATAGTTTCCCATGGATTCAAGGTAGAAGAGGATTGTTGAGCAACTTGAAATCCCTATCAAAATACTAACACATCAGAAGTTGAACTTATTAATTACTGATGATGGAAACAGTTTGAACTGCATGCACATTTTCAAGACCTATTTTCGAACAATGATGCCGAAAAAACCACAGATGGGGCCAAAACAGCATGAGGTGAGGGATGCTGCATTATTTTAGTAGAGGTGACAGACTGAAGAACAATATAACAAGTTACATTGCATTTTGCAAAAAGGAACCAAGAGGATTCCAATGTTGCTAGGATTGTGCAACTTATATTGTCTTGAAAGAAAAACTCTGATCATCTATAAACATTATCTATTCTACTCGCTAAAACCTGTAAATTGAAGACAAAATTACCGTATAAATTTCATATTTTTTTATGATTACAGTAGTTTTATTGCAAAGGGTGAAGTTGCACAATCTTAGCAACATGGCATTGCTCCTGGTTCCTTTTTGCAAAATGCAATCCAGTTGAGGAACTTGAGACCAGGACCAATTTGGAGCATCTTTTTTCTGCCTCTGGAAAATCGGCGCTCTTCCTTTGGTGCTGAGTTGAAACTGCAAAGAAACATCCATTCTTTCACCATAAAACCCAAAACTTATGCATCATGAGACTTTAATTTCCATGCTACAAATATTCAACTGTTCCTACAACAGTTCATTTGTGCACTCTTTTACATGCCCTTCCCAATGGGAGGCAGTGCATTGTGATAGAAACAAGAGAAAAATTAATTTAAAAGAAAAAAAAGAGAAAAAAATACAAAGAAACCAGTTAACTCATTTATGTGCTTTCAACACAAGTAAAAAATAATCGGTTAAACTGACTCATCGTGATGCAAACTGCAAGATTACCAAGATATCTTCATCAATTCGGCCAAAACAGAATGGTAAATTAAACTTCATTTTTGAGTGTACTACCATTCACTAAAATCTTAGTGAGCAAAACTCTTCACGAGAGCAAGCAAACATTTTCAAAATTCGATCTTCCTACTTTTATCATATATTGATCGCATTTAGCAGAAGAAACCAACATGATACAGTGTTGTAAAAATTGTGCATCTTCATCTTCATCTAAAGAAAAATGCCTGGAAAAGCAAGGAGTTTTTGTTTTTCCACTAAAAAATTGTTAATTTGATTGCTGTACACATATTTAATAATATTTAAACCCAAGAGGAAGCTGCACAACTTTGAGGGCACTGTAATAATGCAGGTGTCCTTCTACTCAATGCAACCTGGATAGAATCTGTTACCGATTTAAATATTTTGAAGACTAGGAAATCAAAAATACATTATGTTAACTTATGACATAATTTAGTTCAGTTAAAGTCAATAATACTACCTGAGAATGTCAACATGAGTGACTGTCCACAGGAAAAAAGGACTGTAGTTCATTAAGGCAGAATTTGTAACAGAGCTATTGTTGTTGAGTTGCACCAACAAATGGGATTTTGAGATTTCAACAGAGAACTCACTCTAAAAATCTTGTAGACTAAAATAAACTTACTCAAGCCAATTGAGCTGAAATTTTTAGGGTGCGTAGGTCTTGCCAAAAGCTCGGCAGGTTTTGATTTTGAGCGCAATTGCCTAGCCCATAACAAACGGCAAGTTGTAAAAGTTTGGGTGGGGATGGGACTGAGTAACTTGTTAGACCGCTTTACAGAATATAAACTTGCTCCCTGCAGTGGACATGCCATGTGGATTAACGCTCCATGCCTATCTATGCAGTGCAGCACAGGAGGGGGGTCAGTTACCCCCACCCTCATAAATTTAGAACAGCTTTATATTGAAGTTAAGCTTCTTCAACTCAAAGATTAAAATATTTGTTTGGTTTGGTTTATTTTTGGGCGATTTATATAACAAAATATTTGTCCAGTACTCCTTTATGCTATGATATCAAAGACTGAATTTTAAATTTTGAGTACTAATGTCCGTCTTCCTGTTGGCAGTCACATTTATGTTTGTCGTAACTAAAGCAAAGTATGCGAAGGAGTTTAAACAGTTAATCTATCATTATTCAAATAACATGTAATCTTTAAAGATTAATATTCTAACTAAAGGGTGCAAAAGAGGGAAATAACCTTGCTGAAAGTTAACATAATTCTGAAGATGAAGCAATTATGAATACATAATATTGTCTGTTGACAAATGAAATATAATTTGTAAGTTCACAAAATTTGGGAATCAATATACAGTCGTATTTTATTATAATAGTTCTTGAAATAACATATTTTGGGTAATGACACTCATTTTTTCAAGTCCCAGCCGTTTTTGGAAATAACCTTTATCCAAAAACAACATTCTACATACTAATAATTGCCCTTCAAAAACATTATTACGACGTACGGCTGTATGTTTAAGGACTGAATAGAGCAGCAAAAAGAAATTTAATTTATAATGGTGTTGAGAACCCATAAAACATTTATTTTGAATCTATTTGAGGTGAATATTCTCAAAAACAAAACAATGCGAACACAGAACTTAAACATTACAAAAATACGATTGTTATTCTCAGCATGGCAAGGCTACAGTGATGGTGGGAAGCAGTTACAATAGATTCCCTACCAAAGTAACCGTTTTTCGGGGGGAATTTCTATTTAAAACAAATTAGGAAAAAAAAAAATACTGACAATACTATTGCTACATGACAATGTTTTTGAATTGTTGGCGAGGTTTTGCATTAAAGGGAACTGGTTAGATTAGCAATTCTTTCTAGCAGATTTTAATTTTTGAACCATCGAGTAAATGCACACATTTAAAGAAAATGAATTTCAGTACGGACAGAGGTTGATACTGTGAGACATTGCTTCTTACTTGCTGTTGCAGCTCACATGTGATCAGTTCAATAATGACTAGTATCCTACTTTATGAAAAACATGACTTTAGGATCATTGCTCATAAAATGAGTTAAGTAATAAACCGCTCCTCAATCTTTTATCACACACAATCTTTCTAACAAAAGTTGAAGCTCTGAAAACGGTCCATAATCGTTTAGAGTGCCAGTATAAAGGGAGTATCCCCATGAGGAGACCACTTTTGATTGGCTCTTTCATCTCAGGCTTTCTTGGGGCTCTTGAGATCCAAAAATGGTGGATTTCAGAAAGGTAAGTATCCTAGGATAACCTTGAGTGGAATTTAATTTGCCTTCAATCCCCAGATATTTGGCTCAAGTTATGTAAATCTAAAGATTTCTACATTTATTAATCAAATTTCTGCGTTACAGTTGAAAAACATCCTTTACCATTGTTCAATTTAGTGGAGAGGTTAGCAGCAAGTGGTAACTGCTAAGGGTTGGCAATAGCCATTCTTCAATCCAATTATGCCGCCATTTACGGGTCTTAGAGCGTCCATGAGAAAGTGCTGGGTGAGATGGCAATGCTCTTTTTGTTAAGGTACTCTATAATAGTCAACTAGTAGTTAATACTTGGTTTGTTTCTGCTGAACTCCGTCCAAATGCAAGCTATTTCTGAATGGGGAAGGATAGAATGAAGTATATAGCTATGGTAGCAAGAGGTTAGAGGCTACCCTAGATTTCTAATGATAAAAATGTGTGCCTAGCATAGCGTTAGCTGCTTAAAATGATTGGTTTTTATTATAGTGTATTTTCTATGAATATGTTGTTTCAACATCAAATTGAACCTACAGAGCACCTGCCAAATGCTTAGGCGATTGCTTAGGTTTTTTTTTGCAAAACTGTTGATTGAATCGTTTTCAAAATAAAAAGAAAGAGCACAAAATAAGTGTGGAGGAATTCATAATAATAAAAATTATAATTAGGGAGTTCAGTTAATTCAATAAATAACAAAACTTAAAGTTAGTTAAATAGAAAAAAATCACAAAAATTTAACAACTTCTGAGGGAAAGTTATCCTCAATACTAATGGTTCTTCACCCGCACGTTTTTCAAATACATACCTAACAGAAACATACTACCTGTTAGAAGATAGGGTAGAAAATAAATTGAAATAAGATACTTCAAAATTGCACTTATCCTTAAAAGCTGGAATGTTGTGCCCCAATATGCAAACTGGTAAGTTTTCATGAAGAACAAACAACTTGTCCAACAATATTGTTGCTGAAAAAAAACAGCAAAAAAGAGGAAAATCAGCGATAATTTTGTACTAGGTTTAAATTCGTTATGATCTCCTAGCTGAAAAGTTAAAAGCGCCATTTGGGCTTGGGCACCGTTGCTAAACTTCTCAAATTTTTCCAATTTTTTGCGGAAGAATTGAAGATCAGAATCACTTGAAACTTTTACCTGATATATATTTTGTCATCAATTTTAATCCCTGATATTTTCATAAAAAAATAAGGAAAAGTTTTAAAGAAAACTTGAAAAGTTACTGATAAGTCTGGCAAAACAGGATTTGAACGTAAATGGGCCTTGTGATAGTTTGGCTGAGAGATGACATTGCAGGGAAAAATTCAAGAATAAGCTCAGAAATAGGGTAATTCAAATTAGTTCACACCATGCTTGCCATTTCCTTTTTTACCAGTCTTCATTCCCTCGCCATAAGAATAATGTTGAAAAACAAATGTTAACTTCAGCTGAATTTTCAAATCAATTAACTGAAATTCTCAACCTCAATGAACAAAGTCCATTGACCTACCAAGTTAGAGAAAAGAGTCGTACATGTATTTAGGAGTGAGCCTCCAGACACATTAAAGCATGTGTTTACAACGGCTCATACATAACGCACTTACGGCTCTCTTCCGTAATCGGGCAGTGACAAGAGGAGGCTCAAAATTGGCCACCTCTGATATTGATTCAGTTCACTGTGATGAACAGTTCAAAAAAAGCTAATGGGCCAGGGCCACTAGACATGACTTCACCTTGAAAAACATGTCACATTTTCTCTTTAAAATCTTACATAGAAAATACATCCTCTTTCACAACAGGAAGTCCATCAACTCTTGAAGACAATAATAACTAGTATTTTTATCAAATGGAGGTTAGACTATGCCAATAACGTCATCTTTTTTCTTTCAAATCAAAATCAGAAAAAAGTGAAACGAATTTAAAACTGTCCTTGTACAGAAAAATATGACAGGTAAACAGTGAAATTAGGGGAATTAAGCTTTGTATGTAGTAAAAATAAAGCGATTTACATTACAAAAAATTTTAAAAAAATGGACTGCGTTAAGCAGAAAGGAATCAACCCATATCAGCTATTACCAAATTTAATTGGTCAATTTGATTCTTTACATGAAATCTATAATAGTGCAGATTTTTTGTTGCACAATTCGGTGAATTTTCAGCACAGTACAAGGAAAATTTCTTAAAATTTTCAGAAAAATCTGCAAAAACTTTCTCTTGCAAGAAAATAAATTGCTCTGTCAAATTTGACTATAGCTGATGTGCTGATGTGGCTTGGTTCCTTCCTGTTAAACGCCGTCCAAATAAACTAAATTGAATATTTGCTGCAGTTTATATGTCTTTAAAATCAGTAGAAACTGCATGGAAGGAATGTTGCTGAGGTTAAAATTGTTTTCCTCCATTATAACCTTACCAAAGCAAGATTTAAATTTTGATCCTTTTAAATTTTTTATGTTCATTTATTTTTACATCATACGTCTCTTGGGCTGTAAAGAACCTTTTTCTGCTCCCCTTTTTTATCAGTGCCTAGATTCTGAGTAATAAGAAAGGTTTAATTTCAGAGAAAAAATAACCTTCCGGACAAAATTTCAAAATGAGTAATGGATGAAAAATTACTTACAATCCGAGATTCTTCTTTCTTCCAAAAGTTAGTGACAAAAATGTCTTCAACAGGAAGATACAAAGGCACTGAACATAGTGAAACATAATACCCTGAGTACACTCCATGCCATAATGCAGATACAACAAAGACAATGAAGAGCCTGAAAACAGAAAAGAAAGTCAATTCCAATATGATAACAATACTTTCATACATTCTTTTAAAAATTTTCTCTGATTAGTACCTTCATTGATATCAAGAAGTAGTTATTTTACAATAATTTTCCGATTGGAATCTCATTAGAGAAGCTTATCTCACATAAAAATTGGATGATTAAAAAAAAAAAAAAAAAAAAAAAAAAAAAAAAAAAAAAAAAAAACCACCAATCAAGTATGAAAAGATTTAATTTTTTTTCTCATAAAGTCCAAAGGTGAAAATTAGAGTTTTTTTTACTATTGAAAATTAAACTCCAACATCAGTTCGACTCTGAGAAAAAAAGGCTGTTCATTACGGATACGTGCACTGTCTTCATGATAGGGCTCATTTTCATGGCTAAAAATAATAGCTCATACCAAAAAACAACGCCATTTCAGATGGAGGAAATACTCCTTCATCAATAAGTAACAGGATAAAGATATTTACCTCAGAGATTTTTTCGGAAAACGGTGATAAACGTAAGCAGCCAACCAATATTGAACACTGATATTCCAATACCTCATACTCCCTCTTACAGTGGGATCTGATTCAGCTTTCCACACATTAACTGTGTTGACTGTCTCAAAATTGTAAACCTCTTGTTTAGCTTGATCTGAACTTGCCGCACTGAAATAAAATCAAATGAATAAGAATCCATCATCCCATCATAAGCTTTAAAAAAAGGCCATTATCATATTGTAAATTTTTTTGCCTTTTTAAACATTTGTGCGTCCTCATTATGATACGACCTTTTAAAGCCCCATCTCTTATGAAGCCCATTTTCTTTATCTTTTAATGTAATTAGGCTATACAAAATATGGCAAGAGCTGATAACTTTTTTGCATGATATTGACCAAGTTCATTTCTGAAATAAGGTTTGAAGTAAGTCTTCATATGTTAATTTAAAAATTCAAGTCTAAAATAAGAATGAAAAGAATAAAGTGACACATGCAACGCTGTGATTGGATATTTGAGCTGAAACGCTACTAAGAAGAGAAAGATGGGAGGAGTTTAAAATGACTTACAGAGAAACTAAAGAGGCAAAGTCCTGCGTAGGGCCTTTGCCAGGTTTTGGTTGAGTTCTGGCTGGATAAGCTCCTAGACCTGCCATTGTGCAGACACATTCAGACAAGATAAATCCAACATACAACCTCATTCGATAGGAAAAGAAGCATGGGTATGCATACAATACTCGATATAAGAATGAGCTATCTCTGTAGAACTCTTCTGATCCCACGTACTGAAAAATGAAAACAAAAATTGACAAGAGGTGACTCGGATGTATAAAAAAACAAAGCAAGCAAATATCAAACATCATTACAAATTTGTTTTTTTTAATAGGATTAAAGAGAAGATTAAACATTCCTTGAGACACAGTAAATACAGCACAAACTCTCTCTTAGCTATATAAAAGATGGCGGCTTTTTTTTCTTTTTTCCCTACATATTTTGAATTTGAAAAATGATGGACTAAGAAGATTATTCCTACTGCTTCTCCCTCATGAGGAAATTGCACTGTTTTTACTAAATTTAGTATGTATGTTGTCTGCCACATCAGACTACTGGGCCTTCCACCAAGGTATTCCTATGGTTCCACGCTGGGTTAATGAGACGAATACTGGCAAAAGGACAACAAACTCTGACATCAACTGACAGCTGGTCAACCGGTCTGTCAACTGGTGTTGACAAATTAAATAAATACAAACAATTCGACTGCAACTTTTGAATTCAAACATTTTTGTTTCCTCTTGAAAGAGTTTACTCACTTTTGTACCAATAATTGCTTACTTTTCCAATATTTATTACCTACCGCCCAGTTGTATAAAACAGCAATTGCGGGGAATTTGTTCAAATATTTTTTTAGAGAAAACAAGGAGTAGAATGGAGTAGAATGGAGTAGAACTTACTCGTAGAGGAAAGAGCCATGTTGAAAGAGAAAACAGAATCATGTACAAAGGAACAAATTTTATGCGTTCGATGGTTTGTTCAAAACATGGGGTGAATTCAGCATGTCTTGTGTAGAAAAGATCCCAGTAAGTCTTGTACTTGTAATAAGGACCTGGAGAGTCAAGGATAAAAAAGGAGTTGTACAATCTGAGCAGTGAGAAACCAGTCTTCAATAGATAATTTCAGAAAGATAATTTAATTCAAGACTGTCTAAGTGAAAAATAGCATAGGTGCCCGTTTCAAGAGAGCAATCTGATTTGACAGAATTTGGACAGAAAACTCTTTAATGCTCCAAAAAAAGTAAGTTGTTGGCAGATTGACTGCAGCTCAAAATTAAAGCTCGTTGCTGCTCTGCTCACAAACAGAAAATGTTAACAATAGGTTTCTGAGAACTCACTCTAACACTGGAACTTATGATTTTGGAGCAGAAATAGAAGAAATTCCTGATTTTCAGCTCGAATTCCTGATTTGCCCATGTACTTTTCCATTCCCAGATGGATCCTGTTATTTTGTTTTTCCAGGTCCTAGATGCCATGGCTTGGACTCTCCCCAATCTATCATTTTCATCGTCAAACCACTCTGACCATAACATCGCTTTGCATGAACGAGCATCTACTTTATTAATAATCCCACTATGGTGACACATTCGCTTAATCCAAAACTGCAAAAAAAATTACATCTCACCTGTTAGAACACCGATGTAACAAAAAGCATAATGAAAAACATCTGCTACACTGGGTCTTGTAATAACATATGTTTCAAGATATGCAGATGGAGCATCACTATCATCGAAGTCGTCAAGTCTAGATTTCGTTCTTTCGCTATCATGAACTTCAAATGCAAGTCCGACTAACTATTTCAAAACAGAAAAACCACTTATTAGTTTTTGTTATAGGTACCTGGCAAAGATATAGGTTTGCAAAGCAACTAGTTGGATCAATTAAAGTAAAATTTTGATTTAAAAAAGTCTATTTAATCAAAATATGTTGAAATAAGCACCAAAATTTTCATTACTTTCGGACTCAACACTTGACTCAGGGGTTGCTAACTGATTTTTCAACAGTTATTTAACAACTAATTTGATTTCAAAAACTAAGCGCGTTGCTTTAGGACCAACGCGCTTACCTTAGCTTTTAAGGTCATGTTTTCGGATGTGTCATCATCTTTATGGCACATTTTTAAACTTAGTGTCCCCTCCTTGGAAATCTCATGCATTTCCTTTACATTTAATTATTTCTTTCCTCTCTTTGAAATTTGGTTTATTATCTGGTAGATCTTCTTGTATGGAAACAACTAATGAATGCTTTGAAACTGTTGTTCAAGACAAATTTTTTCCGACAAACCTTTAAAGTGAGAATCATTTGAACCAGATTAGCATGGCCTGTAACCTCTGGGAATCCAAAATAACTGGTGCAACGAGCAAATAATAAATATGCAAAGGTGAATGAGAAGGACAGAATATGACAGAATCTGAAACAGAAAACCACATCTTGTGAAGTAGTAGCTCACATTAAAATTTTGGAGGATTTCTAGGGTACTTACCTGCAGGACCCAGAAGACAGTCAAATGAAGAACGAAAAATTCTAGCCCAATTGTATTTAATTCTAGACAATAAGAATTCAAAAATCATGATCCAGTAGTGTTTGTATTAAAAAGAGTGTGATAAATTCTGCTGTGAAAATTAGTGGCGATTCTCGAGGACTATATTGCCTTTTACAACCAATAAGTAACAGTCAACTGGTAAGAACAGGTAGGTAGTGAGCTGCTTCCAATTGACCAGACAACCCTTCAGAGCACAAGTTAAATAAGTATGACCTCGTTCATACGAGCAACGGTTCGCAGAACTTTACCAGATCAAGTTTACAGTACTTTCAGCTGCGCATCATTTATAGCCGTTTTTCTGACAGCAAACGGCATGAGTAATGTCTCAGATAAAACTAATTGTACCAATGTTCCAGAAACTCTGCCAGCATAAACAAGGCCTACGACCAACTTGTGACCTCCTAAAATCCTTTAAATCTTTCGCAAAGGAGACAGATAAACTAATCATGACACAAGGATGAACATGTTACAAATGTGTACCTCCTTATAAGTCACTGCACTGCAGTGCCGTTAGTGGTAGTATCCCACAGACGAAGAGAGCCACCAGCTCAGTATTTTAGACATAAGTACATGAGAGAAAGTTGCTCCTGCTGCTTGGGGTCAATTCAAGTCTAAAGATCATGACCGATGCTGAAACCTAGAAAAACTTTAAGCTGATAGTTCGCAAGTCTTGCATGAGCAAGATAAGGACTTTGGATGACTGTCATTTGAGAAGAAAGTTATGCAATTCCGAGGGAGGAAGCAGTGCAAATAAGCGTAAGAGTCTACTTCCACTGAAATTTACAGACCTTCAATTGCCATCTGCTTTGGTGTCTGCCACTTCGAGCTATCTAGAAGAAGCTTCAGGTAAATCATAGTCTATTAAAGGTAAAATAGGAATAAAAAGTAGCAAATTTACCTTGCATTGCATTTTGATATGATGAAAGAATTAACCAGGGTGCACAGAATGGGATGTAAAGTATGTTTCCCACAAACGATAAGTACTATAACAACTCCTACAATTGTGGCAAAGCATCGCTTGTTACTTTTGTTCTGGATCTTCCTGAAAATATTACCAAAACCTATGGAAAACAACAAACTAGATAAATAAATAATATCATCCAAGTCCATAGTGAAATAAATTAATAAAGACACAAATAACACAACCAGCCATGAGATGGGCAAACACATTGGTTTTCATATGACACAATTTTATCAGAACAGAAAAATAAACAAAATCGCAGCTGATTACAAAAATTCGTCCAAGGTCAGGGGGGTCTAAAGTCTAAATCACCTAACCTAACACCTAACCTCCTTCCTTTATTTACCAGACGACGTCACGCCGGTCGCCGATACAGCATGTATTCTTTTGAAGTTTTTTTTCATTCAGACTATCAAAATCAAATTGTGTACGAGACTAATTAGTGCCCTTCCCTAGATCAAACTGTCCTCACGAATCACTCTCTCTGAAATGATTGGAAAGTTTTTAAAGCCAAGTAAGTACTTGCTGGAACTTAACCTGTGCACGTTGTTCTCATTAATATTTATCAACTCTCAGCCCTCACAACTACTTAGGATTCTTTCAGATTTCATTGAACCCATCTAAGCATCGAAATAAAGAAGTAAGGAACCAGTGCAAAATTGAGAATTCATTTGTTACGCAAAGGAGGGGTGCTGAAAGTGCGCGACTACAGGCCAATTATTGAAAGTTTCAAGCAGCCCAATGAGCAAAGACATTGAATCACGTAGACTGTGCGTCCCGCTCGGTTTAGTACAGGCGAAGCTAGACAAGTTTCTGGAAGCTCCATAATGGGCGGGCGCCGAAGTGGAGCAAGCGTGTGTCCCAAGCACTTGAAGAGACTGTAGAGAAGCAATGGAGATTTCATACCTGCGCTCGGTTTTTCACGAATATCTTGTTTAGAGTCCATTTTCAGACAAAATTCCTGAGAAGAAAAGTTTTAGAACATATAATTTTACAATGGATCAGCACTGTTTCATTTTTCCGAACTGATTATTAACTGAGAAAAAAAGCCTCACAATGCGATAAAAATTCACTGAAGCCGCTACTGCCCAGAGGCAGATGTGCGCAACTGAGACACACGAACTCATCGATGCAGGTCGGTGCCAACACTCATCGGCATGCAAATTTTTAAAAGTTGTCTCGCCTTCCGTAACTCGGATGCATGGTTTATAAGATTCAAGGTTTTTGCCAATAAGACATCGAATTGCGATGTATTGCATGGTTAAGATAGGGCTACATCTTGTTGTCTCAGGTAGCCATAGTTTCATTAATCTGGTTGCTGGCATGGCGCAAGTGATTTGTCAAGGCATCCCGAAAGGGAAGAACAAATGTGAGAGCAGGGCCACTTTTTGTGAAGAAAACTGGTGCAATAGTGAAGTGTGCAGTCTTGTGTGTACCGTAATATGAAGGCTTCCAAAGAAAATGTGAAATAAAAGAAGTCTTATATCAGGGTGGCTAGCAACGAGGAAAAGTCAGGGAATGCAACTCTTCCAGGAAGAGTTACTTAGGGAATTTCGCCAATGGTCAGAGAATTTTTTGTGGAGCCTGGTTCCACGTAGAAATTGGGTCCACAGCGGGCCAGCTGATTGCGTTGTTGTGCCAACATTTTGTCCACATTACTCAAGTGCCCCTAAGTACGTTGTTGTAAGAAAGTTAGGGAATTTCATTACTTAAGAGAAGTCAGGGAATGATAAAATGAAATTTTGCTAACCACCCTGTCCCTGTGTATGGAGAGCACTAAGAAGGTAGCTTTAAAATTTTTAAAAACTGCCCAAAGAGATCTGAAGTCAAAGAACTTCATCATTCCCTTTACAAGATACCTGATTCCTTCCCTGATACCCATAAAAAGTGAATTTTAAGGTACCCACCTAAGTGTTTTTGGTGGAGACCATCCCCTGGGAGACTGTTGTCTCAAATTTTGAGGGACCTGAATGACTCAGTTTTCTGGTTAAGGGAGTAAAAGGGGTCGTTCCAAGAATATGTAGTTCACAGAAAATCAAAGTTTTCAAGTTATCATGCCATTCCTTAGTGCTAATTGCAAGGAACTAATTTTGATTCCTCATATCTCTCCGGACAAATGGCCTCAAGGGAGAAAAATTTCACTCTAACCCTCAAGAGTTATGAATTGAAAATTATTAATTAAAAAAATTTTCCAGGTGGTGGGGACTGCTTGTGGGAAGAAGACAAAACTGATGTCGATCAAACAAGTGGTACCGCTTTCGTCTTCAATGCAAATGTTTCATTGTCTGTTGATCAACAAAAGCAACGCTTGCCAATTTTTGAGAGTAGATTGCACATCCTTTACTTACTTGAACAATATCAGGTCCTAGTTTTGGTTGGAGAAACTGGATGTGGTAAAAGCACGCAAGTACCCCAGGTATGTTTAAGAAGCACTCATTACAAATTAATTTAATCAGCATCATTCTACCTGCACAGAGTTTAAACTTAGGGAAGAGTGGTGTGAAAGAAGAAGGAAAGAAAATTGTTAAATTAGTTAGTATGCTTAAGGAACACCAATTCTTGCACAACGCTCAACTGAATGAAGCTTATCGTGTTGGTAAACTTAAAAAAAAAAGAGAAAAATCCTTAATTTTAACGATCACAATTCAGGGAAAAAACTATGTTCCAAAGAAAAACTCAAAATAAGTAATTGATTATTTATTCTTCTGGCTGCACAAACATCGGACATCTCAAATCGTATTTTGTACTAATTCTAGATCTTGCATGAAGCCGGCTGGTGTGAAAATGGAAGAATGGTTGGCATCACCGAGCCAAGGAGAGTTGGTGCCACCTCACTTGCCAAACGTGTTGCCGAAGAAATGCATTCCCATCTAGGTCAACTTGTAGGATATACAATTCGCTTTGATGATGCCTCTGATCCATCAACCACCAAAATAAAATATATGACCGAAGGTATTTTGCTTCGAGAAATGATGAGTGATCCTCTTCTCAGAAAGTATTCCGTGATCATGCTGGATGAAGTAAGTATTTGTTTCATTTGCTTTCATGAAGTAAGTCATAAAAGTTCACCCTTCAGTTACAAAAGTTTATGGAGTTTCAGAAATAAGTGTTGTCTAATCAAAATTGTGCCATTGGTGCAAAAATAGAATTTTTTCAGGACTGGTACCACTGTAACTAAGACTTGATATGGGTGAATTTATCTAAAACGACCCCCAGAAACATTTATTAGAAGGAAGTAAGTAAATGTATGAAGGAACAAAAATGAAGCTATCTCTGTTTCTCTTTTACAGACAATTGCTGTCTCCCGTGCCAAGAAGGGGATCTTGTTTTTGCTGTTCCAGTATTTTCACAAACATTTTATTTTTTCATGGGAGTTTTGTTGCACGAACAAGTCTGAAAATTACTTAAGTTTTTCTCATTGGGGTAAAGAAAAATCTGTATCTGGAAAATGTATGCAACATTTCTCTATTAGCTAACATATGTAGGCAAGCAATACTGAAACAGCATGTCAGACGGGTCTAAAAGCTACATGATCCTAAACCAGCCAGAAGGTTGGGTTTTGTACTGCAATAGGCCACTAGTCAAGGTGCAAACTTAAGCATTATAACATGAGTTTCTTCATCAGAATTTCACGTAGAACACAATCTGTGCAACAAATATTATTGAAAGTTACCTATGACTTAAGATATTACCGTTTTTCGATGCTTAAAGAAACCTCATCTACTAGAAAACTATAATCTACTTGGGTTACTGTAACAGTCTTTGCGGCATGAAAATATGGCAACCTTAATCTCAGTGCTTTAGCTCAGCTGTTGCTCTTTTTTTAAAAGAAAGGATTACTTTGCTTGTTCTAGAAGCCTGCTAGAACTGTTTTAGCGCAGGGTTTGATACCTGTGGACCCGGTTTTTCTTGTTAAACTAAAATTAAATTAAAAATAAATTAAGGTAACACAATTAAATAAATATAATATTTAATAAATAATATAATAATAATAATGTTTAATTTTTAATAAATGAATTAAACTTAAATATCAATTAAGATAAATTCAAATTTTTCATACCCATTGGCCATTAACAACATTAATATCTTGGTTAGGAGTTGATTTCAGTAATTTTTGTGCGAATGGTGTTCCACATGAAATTTTGGAAGAGAAACATGGATTGAAATGATTAAATCAGTGCCTTGTCTAGTGGTCTATTTTTTGTGGTTTTATGTGAACTAAGTATGTTTTTATGCATCTCTGTGTCCTAAAGAAAAAAATGTATATGATTTTTTTTTTTTTTTTGTCAGGTGCACGAAAGGACTCTCCTCACAGACATTCTTCTAGGATTACTCAAAAAAATTTTGAGAAAACGCAAAGATTTAAAACTCATTGTTGCATCAGCCACCGTTGACGCAGAGGAATTAAGAGATTTCTTCAATCAAAATAAAAAGAAAAAAGAAATGGCTTCAATCATAAGTATTGAAGGTCGGTTGTACTCCATCTCTGTTTTCTATAGTAAAGGTTAGTATTCTTGCTATGTACTCTTAACTGTGATGGTAATTCATCATGATGTTGCTGAAAAATAATTATAAAGTTTTAAGAATAAATATGTGTTCAATTTTTTTCCGATTGATGAACATCCCAGGAAACTAGCAATACTCTACAGGGTGTCTAGCAACCTGGGAAACTGGGAGAACAGGGAATTTTTTTTGTGTGTGAGTGTGTGTGTGTGTGTGTGCGTTGAAGAAATCAGGGAAAACGCCAGAGAATTCGCAAAAATGTGGCATGTCAGGGAATTTTATTTTGCAAGCAATTTTTTTGTCAGGGAAATCAAAAAACACAGATTTTTTTTTTTTTGAAAATTGATGATGAATGAAGATTCAGAAAAATGGAATCGATACTTAAATTTCTACCAGAATTTCCGCTCATGTCTTTTAAGTTTTCAAAATTAGGTAAACGCATCTTGTATGAGTTTGCATTTTGTATATATTTTCGTATGTATTATGCTCTATTCATTACATTATATCCCTAAAATATGAACAAATTCCTACTTCAAAATTAAAATTAAAAACTTTTCCGCTTTTGGAGGCCGCACAAGGAATGATCAAAAATTTTAAAAAAGTACTAGTAAATTTTAAAAGAGTCGCACTGATGATGCTCCATGGGCAGGAGCGAAATGCGTCCGCAATAATAATTAATTGATGTGCAAGTGAGTACTTTTTTTAAAAAATTTTGTTTTTTCAAGTTCCTACTTATATCTAATCAGTTCAACCACGTCGAATAATTGGGAATATTTTTCCTTTTTGTCAGGGAATTATTTTTCCTCTCTGTCAGGGAATTTTAGATTTTTCCCCGATTTCTTGGCTGTTTTTGTCAGGGAACACAGGAAAATATCAGGAAATTTCGTTTTTGAAAATTGCCAGACACCCTGCTCTACGCTAAACAATTGTATTTTTTGCTTTTGCATCGATAAAGTTCCTCAGTAGTGTAAGAGCCAGTTCCACTTTTAACGTTACTACTGAAAATACCACCACCCTTGGCTCCACCACAGGAGAATTTTTAGTAACTGTACATTAGGATATTAGAATTCAAGCATGTAAAAATAAATTTTCCAAAGCCTCTAGAATTATAATCTCACTTGTTTTCAGAACCTGTTCACTGAATAGATAGGATTAAAAATCTTAATATTTATCCGGGTTCAGTGATGTGTATTGAAATAATTTTTAGACAGAATTCTTGTCAAAACTAAGATGACAATCAGTCCGAGTTCGAATATCAGTGAGCACTTAAGTTGTCATTCCTGGATATCAACTATGAAAAACCGTGAATTGTTTAGCTGCGGCAAGTTGTTTGTCTACCAGCCAGTTCCATCTAGACATTACTGATGCAATACTGGCATTACTTCATGCAAGAAGAAATACTGTGGGAGAGGCATGTGCTGACTGGGACAAAATCGTGGAATTTTTTCAAGATTCATGTAGCTCATAGGTCAGAAACTTCCAAAACGTTTCCTAAAAATTAAAAAAATTGTGAGTTCCATGAATAGAAGATATTCATTGAAGACCAAGGAAGTGATTGTAAATGTGGTGTCCAGTGAACTGTGTTTGATCGTGAGTGTAAAATGGACGCAGGAAGTAATTATATTGAAGCAAAAGCAAATGAACCTTCAATAAATGATTATGGTGTCGATCTAAAAAGTGGAAATAGGGTTGTGCTGCTTTTATGTTTAGGTACTAAGATGAAAATCAAAGCATCAAAAATTTACAACAGCATGGGTTTGTTACTTTGGAAAACAAAATACCTACAGTCACTTGAAAGTTCATAATCTGTCACGTTTTAGACACTTAATGTTTCACATTTGTTAATATGACACATTTCATAATGCGACTTTTCTTACCTGTCTATGACTTTTGTTTAATCAGAACCAGTACCAAACTATGTGAAAGGATGCGTGGAGACAGCTATAAAAGTGCATGAGCATGAACTTCCCGGTGACATTTTGATTTTCCTTCCGGGAAAAGAAGAAGTTGATACTGCCGTTGAAATGTTAAGAGAACATGGAAACCAAATCAAGAGAAGTGACAAAAAGCTTTTAGTTCTTCCATTGTATGGTTCTTTGCCAAACTCTGAGCAGCTCAAAGTGTTCAGATACACTCCACGTGGACTGCGGAAGGTACGTATTCCATGAAACTCCAGGCCTTTTGCTGTTGTGTTATCGGAGGCAGTAAGTTCATAAATGAACTTTCTTGAAAAAAACTACATGGCTGTAACTTTTTATGATAAACTAAATCTTAAAATTTCATGTGAAACATTTCATGAAATTCCAGATTAATATGAAAGATATTGAAAAACATTTTTTGAAATTAAATGAAAGGCCAATGGTTCTTGCTATTTAGTGTTTTTAGTGCAAGTTGCACACTATGGACTAAGCCATGTGAGGTGCTCATCGTGTGGTGGCCCTAATCAGGGCCGTTAGAAAGGGGCAAGCCGGCCGGCTGCATGAGCTCCGCTGTGTGCTGCTCGATGTGAGTGTCAAGTGGCTGACGGGCGCGGAGTGAGCTTAGAGATGAGCTCGCGGCTATATGTAGCCGTGACAGTGTCAAGCTACAGCCAATGAGCTGAGCTGGTTGGAGGAGTGGTGGCTAGCCACCTCAACACCAAGCCCCTGAAAATATGTTCATTTTTCACAACTTAGTGACATTTCATGAAATATTTCACAGAAATTTCCGATCTTTCATATTTTTCATTTCACTTGTGCAACCCCGGTTAAATAGCATCTAAATGGAAAATTCTCTTGAGAGAAGCTTCAGTTCTTTATCAAATTTCCTCAAATCATCCGAAAGGCACTCAAAAATCGTTTGGATGATCGAGAGTCGACGAATTTTATTTTTAACTTTCTAAAAAGGGCCTTTTCCATCTTCATGTGGGACAAAACAGGGATAAAAGCTTCTTGCATTTTCAAATTGGGGCTTCTTTGCCAATTAAGGGGCAAGAAAATCTGAAAAACTCCTTGAAGCTTAATGGAGAATTTGCAGGTGTCTTAAATTTTGTAAATTTCATCTTTAAAATGGCACTACTAGGAAAACTGACCACGAAGATATCCCTGGTTTCTAAATTGGACAATTATTGGAGGAAATATCACAAAATAACCTAATCTGCCAAAATACAATACATGTGTTTAAATGGAAAATGCCGCCAGATGACGTCACAAGGCGGCACATTTTTTCACTTTTAAATCTATTTTTCTCCAATTTCCCTTGTCAGAAAAAATTTATGAAAAATACTGCGAACTCAGCTCAGTAGGCACTCTCAGATGAAGCAATAAAACTTTTGTGTGCAAATTCGCCACTCGCTCCGTATTTTCAGAAAATAAATTTTTTAAAAAAATGGATGCCACTGACCTATTGAAATTTTGCATAGGTATTATAAGCCAATAACATATTTTTAAAATCACACCATTTTCAGTTGGAAGGAAAGCTCACTGTAATAATACTGAGGTTTAGCCGTTTGTAAATAGAGTGAAAATATTAGCCTAAAAATCTTGTAATTTTTTTGTAGTAGTAAAATATATCGTTCCAGAGAGTCTACCATCAGCAAAAACAGGAAATATTCGGAAATATTAGGAAATTCGATTAATCAGGAAAATATCAAAAAACCGACGGTAAATCAAATTCTCAGTGCCTAAAACCTTTTCAAACATTTAATTCAATTTATAAAATGGACTGCATTTTGCAATTAGGACCTATAAACTCTGGCTCACCTGAAAAAACACTTATGTGCATAGGGAAACTAATGGCACTTATGTTGTTTTTAAACTGGGCCGGAATGTATAGTTCCTAATTGCAAAATGTAGTGCAAATATGCTGATTTTTTAAATCAATGAGTGACAAGAAAATCAGAAGAAATCAGAAAATTTCATTTAAATTATCAGGGAAGTCCAAAATGAAATTTTAGTTGACACCCTATGCTCAACTTCCCTGCTCTGGTCTCCATCATTTCATAAACATTTTCATGAACATTGTCTGTTCCTTCGAAACTCGTGTGTTGAATCCTGATTCATCCAGTCCTGATATTTCTCTCATTTTGTCTTATAGATAGTAGTTGCTACTAATATCGCTGAAACATCGGTCACTATTCCTGGTATCGCCTACGTCATCGATTGTGGATTCCAGAAATTGAAATGGTTCAATCCTGAGTCGCAAACAGATGCATTGATTACAGTACCAATCTCACAAGCGTCCGCTGATCAGCGAGCAGGGCGATCTGGTAGAGAAAGACCAGGAAAAGTCTTCAGGTATTTATCCTCTGTAGCTTATTTTACGAAAATCCACTTTTTCCCTCATAGTGCGCTTTGTAGGCTTTCACTCTCGAACTTACTGTATTGAACACACCAACTGTAAGGCTGTACTCGTTGTAGTGTCTAGAACTGTGAAACTACTACAATCTTGTGCGGTTGAGGTGTTGAAAAAGGGGACTGTAAAGTAATATGGCTTCGTTTCATCATTTTATCTTTACTTATTTACAATTCTGAGGTATATTTTCTATTCTTTAATATGAAGTAAACATTGCCTCAGTTTCTCAATTGCTTTTTCATAGCTTTTTTTATCAGTCATCATTTAATGCTGCCTTAATTCAAAAATCATACACATTTTTAAGGGTCTTACCGTAAATCAGATCCTCTTTCTGAGAGTATATCCAGCCATTTTTAAAATTTGGCAAAATACTGGCTGTTTTTTAACAAAGCTGATTCTTCAATGCATTTGATGCTTAATCAGTTAATCGACAGACATGAATAGGTTCTGTTGCAAAAAGAAAGAAGATTCTTGTGTACCCTTCATGTCAGTATCAAAGAAGTTGTGAGCTCCCACTATTTTTGTAAATTTCAGGAAATTAATCGTACTGGTGTTAGGGAAGGGGAAGGATAGTGAAATAGGAAGGAAATTTATATCTCCCAGCAAAATTTGTCTATCTTGTTCTCTCTTATTTTCTGCTTTCTCTTATCATTCTCTGTTTGTTTTATGTATTAATGTTTTGTACTTATATTTTTTAATTTCAGGTTGTATACGGAGTCTGCCTACAGTGAGTTAAGTGAAGCTACTCCTCCTGAAATGCAGCGGACAGAATTGTCGTCTGCCATTCTTCAGTTGAAAGCATTAGGCATCAGCAATATTTTGCGCTTTCCGTTTCCTTCGCCACCTCCAGCCAAAAACGTTCTAAGTGCCTTGGAACTCCTGTTTGCGTTAGGTGCATTGGACGAAAGAGGAAATCTAACAGAACCAACAGGCTTGCAAATGGCAGAATTCCCTCTGCCTCCACTCTATTCAAAAGCTTTGCTTGTTTCAGGTTTGTCCTATCTTCGCTTGAGTCTCGCTAAACTCAATTCTTTGTGTTGTTATCCTCTGCTTATCTGGGCTGGGCGGATTGGAATGAGTAAAGATCAGAATACTCTGTTCATAAAACATTGGCTCCAAAGATTTTCAATAGCATGTATGTGTTAAATATAGTAAAAGTAAGCAAGTCTATATCATAAGAGTATGCAAGGATCTTATTAGAGAGGAGTTATACATTTTTATTTTAACCAAGCCGTAGTCTCTCATGTTTCTAAAACCTTGGTGATTGTTTGAAAAATGTGTTTTTATGACTGATAACCATCTTATCGATCCTAATTCTGCATCTACTGGAATCAGCAGATGAAAGAGAGAATAAAGGAAGATATGAAGGCAATCTAGGACCTAACCCTCATCTTGCTCCATTCTGCAAAGAATGTTCGGAAAGTACCCTTACAAGCTTAAGTGATGCACCAAACAATGAAAAAGTGGAGTTTGTTTTAGTGTCCATTTTGCATGCACTGTGTCTATTGAAAAATTTATCAGGAACTGAAGAATGAGAACATGTTACTTCTTTGAAGGGCTTGAAGACGTATTTTTGACTATTTAACATTTTACACATTGTTTTTTGTGGATCCCAAGTTTGCAAATTGGAAGTTTTATCATATGTTTGATGTTTGTCTATATTTCAGTAGCTGCATCAATAGGGCAGAGGCGTGGAATTTTCGCAGGGTCATATTGTAGTTTTGCCTGTGTAAAATTTGTGATCAACCAAAAAGTTCATTAAAAAGTCCAAAAAAGCACTCCTGAAAGAAGGAAAAGAATTCAAAATTCGACCAATCAAAAGTCAACTTTTTAATTGAAGTAGCAAGGCGAAGCCTGAAACTGAGACCAGCCAATCAGGAAGCGCCATTTCCCATGCCGGACCACATCATCAGAGCTCACCAAATATTTTGTTTTAAATGGGTCCTATTTTTGGCATTTTCTAAACAAAGCTTCTTTGCCATTTAGGGCGGAACAAAATTTGAAAAAATTCCTGGAAGTTCGGTTCACTCCGTATTTTCAAGTAATGAATAATAATAATTAAAAAAAGAAAAAAAAAGAAAGAAAGTGCCTCTGACCAATTATCTGTATTTTCATTCTCTCTTTTTTTCTTTCCAGGAGACATGGGTTGTTCAGAAGAAATGGCCAGCATCATAGCCCTCATGCAGGTTCAGAATATCTTCACTAGACCTCAGGGTGGTGAAGCTTCAATCAAAGCCAAAGTCGAAAAGCGAAAATTTGAAGTCGAAGAAGGGGATCTCCTCACGTATCTAAATACTTATAACTCTTATGTAAAGCATTTAGAAGATGAAAAAGAATGGTGCCATAAACGATTTTTGAATTACAAAGCATTACGGCGGTCGACAGAATTAAGGGAGAGAATACTGAGATTACTGAGAAAAATGGATGTGCCCATTGTTTCCTGCAAAGGTATTTTTTTGTTCTGTGCATTATTTTACATACTTTTTTTTACCTCTCCTGACTTGAACAATTGTAGAATGAGGAGTTTGCATTTCCAACTCTCAGGATACATGGGTTTTAATGATGTCACCTGTATAGCTTCCTTCAGTTCATAATTGGAAAGGAGTTGCGCTGGTCACAGAATCTTGTCTTGATGCTTGATTTTTGTACATCAGCTAAAAATAATAAGACCTGTCCAAACGGCATTTTTCTATATTGAATAATAACCAAGATATCATGCTTTGAAAAATTTGGTTTATAACATTATCCGCCTCGGTGGTGACACCCTTGGTTTCTTCGACCTTGCTTTTATCAATCAGTGAAACACTTGTTTGCACTGGTTACTCAACATAGCACTTGGATGAAAGGAAAGTGAAAGAAACCAAGAGTGCCAGCACAATGTTGGATGATGGCACAAACCGAATTTTTCAAAGTGCCACATCTCGATTAATATTGAACGCAGAGAGTTGCTGTTTGGACAGATTTTATTATTTTTAGCTGATCCTCAAGAATCAAGCATCAAAACACGCTTCTGTCATCAGTGCAACTGACCCAATGCCTCCTCTGTCTGTGCAAGAAAGGTGTTCTCTCCCCTCCTAAGAGTCAGCAGCATTCTTTCACTGGACCAAATTGTTATAAAGTTTACTTTTGTTTTGACTGTTGGAGTATAGATGACCATGAATACACTTTTGAACAGTTAAATTGTCTTTCATTCATTGAAACTGTGTCAATGAATGAAAAAAAGATTCTATAAATGAATTGAATAGTTCATCTAAAATAAAATGTAAAAGAGAATATCACATCAATTTTCAATTTGCTGCTACTTCTCGTTGATTTAAACATTTACTCTAATTTAACTTGAGACTAGACTTATGCAATTATGGATTTTTCAATTCGATTCCGATTAACGAAATTAATTACGATTACAATCACGAGTACAATTAAAATTTGGAAAAACTGAAAAAGTAAAACAGAGCACCATAATTTTTTTTTTTTTTTTTTTTTTTTGCTTATAACGAAGTTATTTTTTGGCTTCCGTGACCGAAAACAAAGTTGAAGTACTTAAACAAAAAAAACAAAGTATTTAAGTTCTTGAAGATATTTTTTTAAAAAGTTTGAAAGCTGATAATTTTCCTCCAATATTTTGTTTTCTTCTTTCACTTGAAGTTGACTCATTGTCTATTTTTCTAAAAGATCCTTTCCACCCAAAATAAACTAGACCGCCAACTATTTAATTTTTTTTTTTAATTGATGCACTGCCAACCTCTCCAATCAAGAGTTTTCGAAGAACCTTTATCATCGACATGAAGTCACGGCACAAGCCCGATGGATGAGGATATTTTCGCGGGGTTATCACTATTTTCAGTCCGAGTTTTTACCGCTAGGTGCTAGCAGCACGCTACAGTAGATGTCATGCAAATTCGAACAAACGCAGCGGGAATTTTAAAATCAAAATGCCGCGCGAAACTGGACATTTTGTGTAGTCAAATTAATCTAATCAATCATGATTAATTTCTCAAAACGGTCACGATTACAATGAAAAAATTAATCGCGATTACTATTAACGTTCGATTTATCAAACAGGTCTACTTGAGACTTTATTTTCAAGCTTTTTGTTGAGTAAGATTTTTATGCGTGTAAAATTTTAAAGAAGTAAAAATTTTAATGTGTTTTAATTCCTACTTGAATAGATCCAAGCTAAAAAGTCATATGTACATCGAAGTGTTTCAAAGTTTCATCTCCTATTCTGATTGTTTGGAAAGAAACCAACCAACATTTTTACTTACTCTTTTGTGAAAATAACCTTCATAGAAGCGAGAAAAATGGCAACAATTTTCGAGTGAGGATGTTGACCTGTTCCCCTTCAAAAAATGTAAACAATAGATGTAATTTTGAAACTCTACACTGCAAATGTGACTGTTTTGTCAAGTTCCATCTATTTGCTGTGTTTTATCATCTTAGGATTTCCCACAGATGTAAAATTATCAGGCTATTTGTTGTTTTGAAAGGCACTTACTATAATCAAGAAGCATCCCTTGAACTCACTGGGGCAACTGGTTATATTTATTTTTTGCATCTGTTTTCAGGCAACTCAGTGAAAATTTGTCGTTGCATTGCTGCCAGTTTTTATCCAAATGCAGCATATCTTCATCCCTCGGGTGTGTACCGTTCTGTGCGAGGACAACAAGATTTTTACATACATCCTACTTCGGTCCTCTACAATGTACAACAACCTCAATGGTAAAATTTGCAGGTTTTTTTTTCTCTCAATTTTCCCCCTTCCAAACTCCGTTATGGAATGTTTTTACTTCAACGCCAAATGAAGAGGTTACCAGCAGAAGAGCATTTCAATTACATGTTCTGTTTCTTCTTTGCCTAAGGAACACATCATGAAACTGCAGAAATGCATATTTCAATTTGATGTGTTGCAGACACCCTGTCATTCCTCATCCTCTGAATAGAATATGGAACAACGTTATTTCTTAAGAGCTTCGGTGATTATTCTGTTCTATGTGAGAAAAATTCTGTGAAAATTTCCAGCCATAGCATTGATTCAGTAATCCTTTTAGGAGCTTTCCAAATAGGAGCAAGATTTTGAAATACCGCACTTGATATACATGTTTTTGGTTTCACCGTTCAAATTCTCCATTATTTCTACAGTTACTTATCCTTAAGTAAAAAAAATAAAGTCCAACTTCTCACATTGAAACCTTATGAAAGAAGTAAACTTGAAACATATTTCTCAATGTTATAGCTCTTTGTGACTTGGTTTTGTTTTTTACCCAATGCTTCTTATTTGATGGAACTAACTTGAATTTCTTACTCCTCTCGTCACTCTGAATAAAAGTTCAGCTGAGCGCTTAGCTATTTCCTGCGTTCTCTCTGAGATTTTCAGCTCTGAATATTCGCAGGCTTGCTATTGCTTGCATTACATACAAAATTTCACCTTTTTCCTCTATTTACATTTACTGCAGTCAGCATTCTAGATTTAGATTTCTGTGTACCTAGACATTATATGCCACAATACTGCAAGCTCCTACGTATGGACATCTTGTTGAAGAAATGTATGTCATTCTTCTTCTATCTATGTTTTTGAGGAAAAGATACTTTTTTGAATAATTTATTTGTAATTCTATAATTCATATTTGTTCCTTTTTCAGGATTCTGTACTGTGAATTGCTTCATACGGACAAAATCTACATGAACGAGCTGACAGCTATCGATCCAGCCTGGCTTGAAGAACTTGCTCCACATTTTTATCACAAAACCTCCGTTGACTATGGCTGATCTATTTCACTCACTGTAAGCATGGTGGAAGAATATTTTCTGGATGTCCATAAAAACTGTTTATATGGATTGCTAGGATTGTCACTCACTTAAAGGTGTCAAGATGACTGAACCAGTTCATCATTTTCCACAGGTCTGGTGTGTCATTTTTAATTGATTGGTTCCTTTTAATAGGAAACCAATTCGTTGTAAAAACTGTCTAGACAAAATTGGCTAGAATAATTAATTGACTAAAATTTAAGCTCAGAACCTTGTAGGCCCGCAAATAAGTAGAGTCCTGTTGTTTCACCATCTAAATGTTCAATAAGATGCTGCAGCGGTAGCGTGTTGCTATGTAATTGACAATTCGCTCATTAAAGAGGGATCTTTTAGTGCATCTCTTTTGATCGTTACAGGAGATAGATTGACACTGTTTGATTGAAAATTCATGGATGGTGAAATGCCACTCCCTCACTGTCTCCGTTCTTTTTTCCAATATTTTAGGAAGAACTGCAATAAATTATTTTCTTGCAAAACAAACGCTGCTGCAAGTTAGAAACATGAAACTTGTGTGGAAGATTCTTCATTAGTAATGGTTTGTTAGGAGGAGATGAAGCAAAGAAGTCTGAAAAACAAACGGAAATTTGTTAAGAATTGAATCAATCAAAGAGACACAAGAATTTTAGGCAAATAAGAAGGGAATAATCAAACACATAACAAATAAATAAATAAAATTAGATGATACGAATCTACAATAGAATAAGGGTTGAGCATTGACAAACCCGTCAAACCCCTCGCAAATATTTTACTATACTCAGTTGGAAGGAGCTTCTCTCTAGACATGGTGAGGGTTTTGCAGTAGCCTAATTGGATACTTGGGCTTTGTGTGAATAAAGCTCCATGTAACCTGTTGCGACAGCTGCCTGTTTTGATGATAGTAGTCTGAAGAGAAGATAATCGCAATTATTATTATGCCAGAAGTCCAGGTTTGTAGACTAATATGACTAAAGTTTTTTTGTCGCAGCGTTCTGAAAAACGCGTATATGTTGAATTATGTTGTGGTGAAAGGTTGGCTTTTCTTGAAAGTATACCTAAGTTTCTGAAGGGCTTTTAGCAAAATAAGAAAAAAAAAGTTTCACGGAGCACTGAAAGTGCACTGCTGATTTTTACTATCCATGGGATGTAGCAATGAGGGAAAAGTAACTGAAAATATTACAGCTTGACTATCTTATCCTCTAGCTTAATAGGTAACTTAAATCTAAACCACTGACAATCTAGCAGCGACGTGGGACTGGACCTCTGCTGTCCTTTCGCTTGCTCTTGATAGGGATCGCTCAATGTCCCTGATGATCCGTCTCTGGACCCACGGGGCTAGCTCGGAAAACTTCGTGTCTGGCGTTGGCAGGCTGAGGTTGAGCTTGCAAAAAGTTGAGTCTCGCATACAAGAACTCGCGTCGACGAGTAAGTGACCAGATCGCAGCAAATGTATTCTGCTGGAGCGGTAACGGTGCATTTCTCCTTGTTTCTGAGTTGAGCATAGATCATAACCAACTTAAAACCCATCAAGCATACTGTTTAAATTAACCAACTAACACCTATCAATACGAAAATCAATCCTGTCAATCATGTTGATTTCGTGCAAATCGACGGACATATTGAATCTACCATGTTCCCAATGCTGAACTGCATTTGTCCGATAATTCAAGACCTCACCATTTTGGCCAGGCAAACGAATATCGAAGAGCTAGGAAATACAGAGGCTTACCACATATTATGGGACTATGAACACGAATATACAGATCCTGGCAGTGTAAGAGTAAAACTGTATCTACAGGAAACTTATTCGAATCCTAGAAATCGACGGGGATTTTACGTGCGACGTGCCTTGATCCAGAAAATGTTTCAGTTCTTACTTCACCACGACGATTAAAACTTTATAAAATGAGTTAGAGATTTACCCTTTTAAAGCGTGTGGAGCAAGTTAAAATTCTCAAAAGTCTATGCCAGAAATTTTCCATAGTGTAATGAATAAGAGTTAGTTTTCGGCACAAGAGTTAGTTGAAAACTTATCTTATTCTCATTGGTGATGTGATATGAATATGAATAAAAGTTCAACAATATTAACTGTTTCGGCACCAGCTGATCTTTGTTAACGTAGGATCAACAAACTACAAGAAATGGAATGGAAATTAAAGAGACTAAATTTTGAGATGAAGTTTGTCACTGTATTACTCTGAAATTCATAAGAAAGTTGCACAAAATACGGAGAACAAGAGTAGATGAAAAGTCGACAAATTTTCTACACCACGATGCCTTTTTAAGTGTTGAGAGTGAGAAACACTTGATGAAAAGAAATTAGAATGGTCACTTGAGACTAAGAACTGAGAGAGAACAGAAAATCACTATGAGAGAGTGTATGTTCCTAGGGTCTGAGAGATGGAAAAAAGACCACTTGAGAAACACAGGTCTAAGGTCTGAGAGATGGAAAAAGACTTCGATTTAGGCGCAGCGCACGCTTATATAGACTTGCTGACATCACAGGTGGCGAGACTATAAGTGTATGCGTGATTGGCTGGCTATAATGTATTATTATCAGTTGCAAGTCTAGTAATAAAAGTAATGAAGGTGAACTGAATGATAGGGTGTAAAGAAGATTTGAGATCGAAAAATGAGCTTTTGTAAGACGGAAAAATGGATGTTAGAAAAATATTGGAAAGTGTTGACACATTCATGTGTTAATTCCAGATTTTTTAGCACACTTGCTGAATCGAAATGTTTTCACCGAATTTTTAGCGTCAGCAAAATGAAATGACTATCTTGTGTCAGCATGTCAATAGCTACATAATAAGATTCTGTATGTACTCTCTGATATTTTATTTGTAAGTTATAAAGTCATTGTAACTTTTTCTCATATTTTACTTTATTTTGACTGATTGCTCAAATTGCATGCATTGTTCTGGAATAAAATGTATTTTCTACGAATCACAGTGTGTCATTTTTTATCCAGCTAAGAATGAGATAAAAACACGAAGAATGGATGTGCACAGGGCTGAAATAATTGAAAAAATCAAACATATTTATTCATTACATGACAATTACTTTTATCTACACAACAAAACTGAAACTTAAAGAGCTTGATGCAAAAACGGCTTTTTTCGCCCCCTCTGGAAGTTCTTCAGACTTTGTCTATTGATTACTCATACTTGAGCGCTTCTTTTCCCAAATTTTCAGACCCCCAAAAAATTTTGGGGGGGAGCTAGGGGGGGTGGAAGTCAAAACCTGTGAACCTCGATATCTCTTGAACAAAGAAAGATATCGAGGTCCGGTTTGGACGAAAAATCGTCTAAAATTGCATACTTTAAGATTCTAAAGGTCGAAATCCCGATATCACATTTTTAAGTCAACATATGTGCTTTTTTCCAGTTTTTAGGTCTAGAAAATTTCTTTTAAACGAAAAATTTACAAAGATCTCAATTTTTTATTTGAACCAAAACCAGTTTCTTAAATTGCTCGTCTCTTTCCGCATCCAACGAGTGGTCCATTAAGCTGGGGAACCAAACGGTTCCGGAGTTATGATCGATTGAAGTTTCCGCTCAACGCGCGCCGACCGATTTTCGCGCGCAAAAAAGTCGGATTTGACTGTTATTAGATCAGATTGAATGTTCAAACTGAGCAAAATGCTTTATTAGGGACTCTTGAGGGTCGATGAGTTCAGAAATTACCGATACTTCCAAAAAATTCACGTTTTTAAAATTGCAGCTTCGGACAGGACCACTGAGCTACCGGTCGGCGCTCAGTGGGGCCTCTAAAATAGCGCTGCGGAGCTATAATTTTAAAAACGTATCGAGGTTCACAAAACGAGGAGTCACCAACAAGTGAATCAGAGAATTGGCTTCCTTGAGTAACTTTTACACCATAGGTAGGTAAGAAGACAGTGCGGAATCTCTAGAACATATATCATCTCTGCGTGGACCCTTAAAAAATTATATAGGTAATACTTTTTTTTTTATTTCCCCCCCCCCCAACATTTTGGCAGTCCAGAGAATGGCAGGAGACAGGTTGCTGAAGAAGGTCCTTGATTGGGTTCCTCCTGGGAGAAGACGCAGAGGGCGCCCATTAAAAGGTTGGAGAGAGGGGATTATTGAAGCGGAAATGTTAAGGTGCTCAATGCCCCAAGATTTGTGGTTTGAAACTGCAGTGGAGGTTAGGAGTCGTAGAGCACGAGGGAGTGCTGTAAAGCGACCTATATGAATGCAGGGCCGGATTTACTCACTTTCCGCCCATGGGTCGCTTGTATTTTGCCGCCCCCTTCTCATTCGTTTTGAAACATCAATAAAAACCATCAAGTGGACGTACCGGAGGAGGAGAGGCGTATAAGACGCGTTTACTCGTGTTGGTCACATTTTTTGCGAAAGCCCTGGCAACACTACCAGCAAAAGTTCACGGAACTTGGCGCGAAAGTTAAGTTCCGTAAACCTATCTCTGTATGGACGAGGCCCTCCATTTATAAGAAATGAACCAAAACATTATGAAAGAACAAATATAAATGTGGTTTAATAATTTTAACTTCCGCCGCGCCGTGCTGACCGCACTGTGTTTGGCGCAATGCGTGAAGTATTACAGTCCTATACAGTCCTATAACATGCGCTATGCGTTTCGGGCCGACCGCTGCTGCACGCACTGTGTTTGACGCAATGCGTGAAGTATTCATGCAGTCTTGTAGGCGCTATGCGTTTCGCGCTGACTGCAGCGATCGCACTGTCTTTGGCGCAATGCGTGAAGTATTTATGCAGTCTTGTAGGCGCTATAATGTGTTACATGCCGACCGCCGCGCCGAGGGTTTCTCTTTTTCATCTCACGTTCTCGTCATCATGCATTGCTCTCTGCGCCGCGCCATTCCAGGCCAAATTCTGTGTTCGGTTTCTCTCTTAGTCTTAACTCGACTAATTAAAGGTGCTGTCTATTGTACCACAGAGGGATGAACGACAAAATTAGAGACACTCTCAGGAAATGAGAGATTTTGTCACCTTTTCTCGTTCGATATATACTGTCAGAAACCTACAGCGATCTAGTGCCCGGAGAAACCCGAAGAACATCCACGCTCCATCCATCCACGCTCTGCGCCTTTCAATGGACCAGTGGACTAAAAGTATCTTTTCTTCAATTCTGATTATTGACAGTTCATCGTTATAAGAGCTCATTTTATCCGTGCAAAACTGATTGAATTCACAACCGCCTTTGAGTAAGTTGCATTCTTGAAAACACCGACTCTCCCAGTCTTGCATGAGAATACGATGACCAAAGCCAGAAGACTTAAAACCACAATATGAACCAAGCGTTTGGACTCTCTGTTTTAAAATAAGAATCGCAGAAAAAAAAATCTCGGAAAGTGCAATAATGTTCTTCGGGCAATTTTTACAATTATGGCTCCATTGAAGACTCCAAAATTATGAACATCTCTGGTCATCATCGTTGTACAGGGCTACTCAGATACGAAAGAGAAGAGCGCCTTCAACCCACTATGTAATCTTAATGCGAAATTCTGATACCACTATTCGTGCGTCACGACAGTCATTTTGCATAGCCGGCCGTTTGAAGGCAAATCATTGACCCAGGCAACAGGGTACCTACGAGTTTCAGCAATGTGATACGTGTTTTTTGGGAACAAAACCTCCAGGGGTGCCCCGCGTGGCATCTAAGAAGCCCAACCCTCAGGGGCTGCCCCCCTTGGACTCCAAGGAGCCTAACCCCCCGGGGGCCGCCCCACCTATCATCCAAGAAGCCCAACCCCTCGGGGGCTGCCCCACCTGACATCCAAGGAACCCAACCCTCTAAAGGCTGCCCCCCCCCTTGGCATCAAAGGAGCCCAACCCCCCGGGGGTTGCCCCACTTGACGTCTAAGAAGCCCAACCCTCAGGGGCTGCCCCACCTGACACCCAAGAAGCCCAACCCCGACGGGCTGCCCCCATTGACATCCAAGGAGCCCAACCCCCCGCCGGCTGCCCCACCTGGTATCCAAGTAGCCCAACCCCCAGTAGCTGTCCTCCAAGGAGCCCAATTCCCCAGAGGTGATCCACCTCCACCTTACATCCAAGGAGCCCAACCCCCCGCGGGGGCTACCCTACCTGACATCTACGAAGCCGAACCCCAGGGGTCCCTATTCTTTACTCTTATACCCACTAAAAGAATGGTCTTAAGATTGATACTCTTTTTGAAGGAGTGAATTAACTAAAAATGACAAAATAACTTCCCAAGACACTGGTGATAGGTGAAAATATTATTTTTCCAACATTTCAAAGAAAATGCAGTAGGAGGGCATGTTAAAAATATATCAGGTCAGAAGTTGTTGGGGATTAGTTCCCATGATTTATAATAATTACAAATGTGGCATATTCTCAAAGTATTAATTTACTTCATTTCACACTTCCCATGGATACTTACCGTAAACTACACAATTTCTGGGTTGCCCCCGCCCGCTAATTCATATAACGCGCGACCAGTGAGTCACCGTTGCATCTCTGGGTGATGATCGTTGCTCTTCGGCAGTCAATCATGAAATTTGAATTTGAAATCAGAGAGCGTGTTTTTGGCTTTTGGAGCCTAAGTGTTGTTTCAAGACTTTATTAATCGTAAATTGCTTTAAGTAGTTTTTTCGAATTTTTATAGAATTTAATTTCAAAAGCAAATGGTGACGGCAGTCTTGTGCTTCACAGCCTTACCTTCGTTTTCACGTTGCTGCTCACGGATATAAACTTTTCGTGATAACGAATTTCCTTTATCTGCTGTTCGAATCAATGATAACAACTAAACATTACTCTTATCAGAAGAATAAGGGGTGAAACCCTCATGGCTATTATGAAGAAGAGAGCAAGAATTCCTCGAAGCTGAAGGAAAATTCTAAAGAATTGTCAATTTTTCAGCTGCAAGTGACACACGATGGAAAATCAAAGCCCTGCTCGCTTGGGAGAAGAAAGCTTGAATGAAACCCCAAGACCACAAGCTAACTCAACAGCTATGCTGGATAACTTGTAAGTATGTAATGTATAAGTGTAATAAATTCGTTTGAACATGTGAGCTATGCGACTCAAACTAAGCGACACAAGCAAGACATAGCATTCTGTTCATATGCTGAAACTTAGTAGAAGGAACTTAGTTGTCGTTGTTGTTGCAGTTACAACTCGAGAGATTGAGTTTCCATTGACACAAACTCAGACGTAGATCGATCTAATCTGGAACTCTACAAAAGGTGTTAGTAAATGACCTTAAGAGAGCTTGAATGCAGAGCATGTGACTGAATTGATGCCTTTTTAAGTCAAGTATCTTTTCTTTTAATTCTGCACTATTGCATCTATTGAATTTAAGCAAAACTTCTAAGTACATCTGAAGCCCCGTGGTAACATGCATCAGCTTGAGTTCATAGACAATATGCTTAAATTAGCAGGGCATTCTTATCTGAATTTTTGTGAGTCTCGATCAGAAATCTGTCAGTTGTTCGGTTCTTACTTGCAACTCTAACCAGAAATCAAAAGCATGCTAAGGAAACTGATCACTTGTTACTGACATTCTCATCAAAGGATAATGCATAATTCATGGAATCTACGGTTGGTGCACAGCTTTTGGAAGGGAGAAGTGGGGTTTGCTGAACTCTGCGATTGGATGTGGGCATATCAGCTGAGTCTTGCTAAGGAAAATTTCTCAAGGTGATTTGTCTTGGGTTCTTGGCATGGTTGAACTGACATGCAATATATCATAAGTATTGGTTGAGTCTGTAGTCTTGCAGATTTTGACTTTCAAGTTAAAATGATAGCCCCTCTACATGAGTTAAAAGAATCATTCTCAACAAAAGCTTATTAACAAATCGAAGAAATGAAAAAGCAAAATTTGGCCATGAGAAAAACGTTGCAGTCAATTCAGAATTTAATCGCTGCACTAGATGCGATAACTATTTCTCAGCCAATTCCTGTATTTATCTGTCTCAATTTTCTAATTTATTTTGTCAAGGATGATTCTGTAGACTCTAGCACTGGGGCTGTTCCTCAAGCTTAACAGTCATAATCTGCTAAATTTTTTTACTTAATGAATGAGATCTGTTGCACAGCACTTCCATGCCCGTAACCTGGAGTGAATCACGCTAAAGTGAGAATTGATTTGAAATGAAAAAATTGAGGATACTTTCTTTCCTAAATTTCACGTAGAACTCTTTTATTAGATTTCCCTGATATGAAACCTTATATCAACACCCCAATAATGCCCAGATTCAAATGGACCAAGTTCATCAGAAAGGAACCAGCCTACATTTTCGATAAAATCTAGTTAAGAATTTTTTTGAATTTCACTCGCCATACATTTTCTCCTGCCAAAAATCGAAAGTCTGAAAACAAAAGTTTTATTGTGAAAAGAGGGATTGAAGTTTATTTTGTACATTAAGCCTTATTAAGGCATAAAACTTCAAACATCTGTTTCTCAGTTTCAACTTAATAAGGGTTGGTTCCTTTCTGATGAACATGGTCCTAATCATCCATGAGATGTTTGAGTTAGACAACGGTACTTCACCCTCCTGTACAAACCGTCCGTATTCCATAAATGTACTTTTCTGACGAAGGCTCCGATCAATAAATGTGTATTTTTATTGCTGTATTTAAAATCACTGGTCTGGGTGTCTACAAGTATGGAATTGCCGGAAAGTCCAGAAATAGCACTGATTTTTTAAAGGCAGTCTGGAAGTACCGAAAAAGTGTGGAAATTCCGCAAGAAGGTCTGGAACTTTTGTCGCAATTCGAACGAAAAATTCAAATTTCTCAAATTTCGTTAATTGGAGGTACTGAAAAAGCACTGAATTTTTCTGTTGAATAGGTGCTGAATTTCTTGGGAATGTACTGAAAAAGAGCTGTAAAAGTACTGCTTTTTGACCAGCCTATTTCTGTAGACACCCTGACTGGTTTTTCCTTTTCAATTTCCAGGGAAAAAACTCACCAAAATAGTACCTTGATCTTTTCTGCAAACTTGTTTGACCGAGAGATGAAAGTTCATAGAAAAGTCACCATAAATTGTTGATTAGTTTTACTTTCTAAAAATAAAACATGGAAAGAGTTTTGCAACTGGAGGTACGCATTTTGCTCCGTCAACCATCAATTAGCTCCATAGGGTTTTTTTCCGTTGTACTACTTGTGCGAATTCTAATGGCGACTTGTTCTTCTTCTCGCAGGCTTTCTGCACGTACAGCGCACCTGAACATGGGTCTGTCTAAAACCAGGGAAAGTGACAGTAACTCAATTAATCAATTTTCTCCTGATTTTGATGAGAGATCGTCTTTGAGCTCCTTCAAATCGAAAAGTCTCAATCGTTCTGAATTCTCTAAATCCTCTTTAGGTATTGTGAACGTTGATCAAGTTTCAGGTAAGGCTTCCTTGTGGCCCAACTCAGAAATGTTGTATTCTGATTGTGGTGTTTCATACCTAATTTCCATTTTTTTTTTCTTCTTTTTTTTCATAAGAGCAAAAATGCTTAATTGCTTAATTTTTTCATTGAATATTCTTCAAACCAAAAAAAAAAAAGAAAAAAAAATCTCAGAAATTTTACAAAGATGATTTTATTTTTTTTCCCACCTCAAATATTTAGTTAGGTAGACAGTCTGCTATATTATAAACAAAGATGCCATCAACATGTAAGAATTTTAATGCTGCTTCTGAGTTTTCGGATTTGTCAACTTACATTCTCTCCGGGAGAACCCTGTTGTAAAGAATAAATAGTTCCTGGTAAATATTAATGAATATCTAATCAATCAATGCACCAAACCAAAACATTTCGTAAGTTTGATTGTAAGAGTGGAGATATTGCATTCAAACACACACTTTTTTCTATCATGCCATGCACAGTTTAAGAATTACTCTCCTTCCCAGTTGCTATGTACCTGTCATATCCTAAGCACATAGTCAAATTAGGCATTTAATAAGATACCTGGACATGTGGTTAAATTTTGATGTTCAATGAAGTTTTGTGTGTTTTTGACAAAGAGCTTTTGAGTTTCCCATGTTTTGAAAGTAAAAATTCATCATATCTACAAAATTTTCATGTATTTTTCTCTCCAAATGCTCCGTTTATACTTTAACTTGGAGAGAGATTCTATTAGGGGTGCAGAAAGTGTTCGATTGGCCGATCGCCGAGCAAATATGAAGGCTCCTGAAAAGGGGTAAAAAGATATGAGGGCACCTGGAAAACAGGAAAAAATGTGAAGGCAGAAAAGTAAGCCAGCTAAGCGTAGCTTTTTGTGTAGAAAACCATGTGACATGCCCCCTTATACGAACAAAATAGTCAAGCACTCTTTTATGTGAAGGAAATAGTACAGTGCGCTCTTTTATGCAAAGGAAACAGTAAAGCGTGCAAGTCTCATGTGGACACTAATGTGAAAGCAACCTCAAAAAATGCAAAGGCTCCAGAAATGTGAAAGCAAAGACCTTTCTGCACCCCTGGATTCTCTATTTTATGAAATGCTCCAAATTTCAAGATAAATCAGATAAATGCTTGATTAAGGACTAGAAGTACGTAATTTACAATAAAATTTTTCCACCTTGTTTTCAGATTATTACACTGGCTTTCTCACTGATTTTGATAAAGATGATGATTCCGTGTCATCCCATGGCCGAAATAGTAGAAAATCAGATATAGAAAAACACCTTAGACAGTGTTTCGAGCGAGACTCTCTTGGACAAAGTTCAACCACCAATGGGCAGTACAAAGAAAAAACAATACCAGTAAAGTCAGCGTAAGTCACAACAGATCTTAAAATTAGGTTTGACTATGACAAGAAAAGAACGTAGTAGCATTACATCAGACATTGATCGAATTGTGCAAGTTTAGAATTTGCTTCGAAAAAAAACTGTGTCCGATGGATCCAAGGTTGTTCCAAGGATAAGTTCAGCCAAGAAAAAAAAATTGTAGAAACTTTTTTTCCGCTGTTGTTCTAAAGTTCACTGGAGGGAGTATTAAGTGCACAATTCATATCTTCCTGCACAAAGAAACGTCTTGTGATATCATTGTTTCAGTGCTTCTTACTTACATTCCATTTATGTGTAAAAGCACTATCACTTTAAGTACATAGTATCACAAGTGCCATTTACGCTCAGACACTATCAGAGACATCTCAATATTTTTTTAATTTTTTCTTCATAACTTTTGTACCCAAATTTATGAAAATTTCTAGGATAAATATTAATGATAAAAAGAATATTAAGGAAAATTTTCAAGCAATTCTTTCGATTAGTTTTTCTGTAAAAAAATGAATAAGAAGTATGGCAACATAGTACCTAAACACACTTTGCGCTTGTGTTACTTTTACCAGAAAGTTACAAAGTTGGGAATCAATGGGATTGGGATGTAAATGAAGCATTAGTTCCTGAAGGTTTTTTAAGGTAAATAAAAAAACAATAAAACGCTTGTTCCTGAATTGCAGTCTGTTAATCGCTCTTTCTGTTCAGAGGGTTTTTTTTTTCTGTGTCATGTATTCTTAGACTTTTTCTTTTTTTTTCAAACAGATCAGTTAGTTCTTTTGATAGCATGTCGGAGAATACAGCTAACATCAACAAGATGAAAAATATTTTAAACAGTGTCCACAGCTACACGATGGGAAATGATCAGGTTTTGGAAAATGTCAATAGTGATGTCGATGAAATAGAAAATTATTTTAAAACATCATGCAAGACAGCGGAGGAGTTAGATGCTGTTTTCAAAACCTCTGATGAGGATGGCAAAAAGATGGAAGCCTTTTTAAAAGATCTGCGTCACTGCCAGAATGGTCAGTCAGATTTTGATGAACGTCTCAGCAAAGGCTCCAACTTTGATCCTCTGGAAAAAAGTTCAGTCAAGAAGAACAATGATGCCGATAGTATTTTTGGATCCCAAATGGACAGTGCAAGTCTCCTATCATTTGGATTCTCCAGTGATGAATTTAAAGCACACAGTATGAATTCCATCATGCAAGAATTAGAGATAGATGAAAAGCGGGCCAAAAAAATTGATACCACAGTCTCTGATCAAGCTGTCGATGAATCGTTGAGTGGTGTAATGAGTGGCGATATATCGATCGGGTATGTTATCTGATTTTTTTCCTTACCATAGTAGTCCTAAGTTAGGCCTAGAAGGCTCAGAGGCACGGTACGATTTGATTCTTACAGTATTTCTAGTACCTAAACATCCACTAATACTTCATTTTTGTCGTATAAATCAAGTCGCTATCAATTGTCTTATCTCTGGTCTGTGCTATTTCTCAGTGCGCCATCAGTAAAGTTGATTTCAGTTTGAAGCAAAAATTTTCGGAGTGTAATGAGCATTGATTTAAACTTTTTTATTCAAGTTGATGAAAAGAGCTCTATATTTGGCGAACGTTACTAATTTGTATTCATTTACTACCTAAGTCACTCTTGTTTTGAGAAATGATAATCATTGAAGCAATCCCTTGGGCAGAATTAATTTCAATTTTTGTTAATTTTTATATTTTTTAGACCAGAAAGATTGTCAATGGGTGATTACTTCATGCAAAAATGCCACTCAGCGTCGGAACTTGATAGGAACCATCTAATGCAAAAATGTCACTCCGTGTCTGATCTCTATCGAAAGCCTTTGGAGGTTGTCAAAGAGTTGGATGAAAACCAGCCATTCCAAGAAGATGCAAGAAAAAGTATATCTGAAGGAATTCTCAGTGATGGTGGGCCTTTTTCATTTTAAATGTTCTTTTGTCTGTAACAGTCTTTGGGCAGAAAGTTCTTAGCCTTCCCATTTTTCAATTCCGGCTTTTCTCTTTTGAAAATCCTCTTTTTAACGTTTTTCAAATTTCCAATTCCATGATTTTGTGGATATTGCGTGATTTTTGCTCTTCTGCACACCAGTCTTTCCGCTCTCAAACCCCCTTCTTTCGGCTTTTCCATTTTGGCTTATTTCTATTTTTTCCCATATTTGACCATACTACAGCCAACTGCATGACCTAAACGTTTCTGCTACCTTACTTACAGTTTTCTAACTTGTTTGTTGCAAGCCAAATAGAGAAACATCAATGGTAACTGCCTTCATATGTTAATTTCAAGGTGCCAATAGGATGATTCAGGCTTTCTGTGCCGTTTATTTTGATTCTTACAGAATCCCCCTCTAATACGAAGTTTATTTAATGTAAATCCTATAGTATTTAGATCAGAATTTCATGATTTGCTGCTTAATGCATGAACCATTCTTTCAAATGTGCATCAATCATCTACCCGTAGTTCTCTAAAAATTTGATTTAGTCTCTTTACTTATTTCCTGACATTTACCCAAAGAGTGTAAACTATTATAATGACTTTCCTGTGCTCAAATAATGTGTTATTAATCCTCATTTTCCCCCCTTAGATTCAACGTGCAACTGGAGTAGAATAATGAGAGGATCTTTGTGCAAAAGTAGCTTTGGGGTTGACTTGAATGCAAGCACAAGCAGTATTGTCAGCTTGTCTGAAATTGCGAAAATTATCCAAGAACAGCCTAGCTCAGCCACTCCTCGCACAATAATTGATGCTCTCTATGCAGGAGGTACCTTATTCTTTTTTCTGTCAGGGCATGTAGAATGTGTTTTTAGTTTAAGTTTACTAAGTTGTCTCTGTATTTGTACCAGTAGCGGTTTTCCTCTCGCCAGCTAGACTTAACTGACTTCTATCTTGGAACAAACGTGTCTGTGTCCGAATTTTAAGATTTTTTTTTTTTTTTTATGAATTTTTCAATAGGCAAGGTCTGGTATTGAATATAAGAGAAAAATCGAATCCTTCGTCTTAACTGACACGGATTTCAAATGTGGCTGTCGACAGAAAAAAGAATCTAAGTGGCAGTGAAATCCAAACGAAGTTCGATATTTTTTTGCCAAGAGGAGTGTGTAGCGAATATTCTACTCCCAAAAATGCTCCTGAATATCAAACCAAACTAGTTATGTTGGTCAAGTTTGGAGTTCATTAAACGTGATTTTCAGGAAACTTCTCCACAGTTTTAATCAGACATAATCAGGATCAGAATTGCTAGATTTCAGTGAAATTTCTCTAAACGAACTTAATAGATCTCAATTTAGTTTTCCAGGTGAAATGTGGAATGCTCCGGAGTGCTTATTCAAATGTTATAATTTCAGTGTTGTTCAAAAACTCAAATTTTAATTTGATAATTGAAGTTGACACATAAACATGTTCTCGATAAATTTAATAATGTGTATCTAAGGCCCTTTTTTCGTGATCAGTCGAAAATAATTGAAAGTAATTAATTTATTAATGGATTTTAATTGGTTTCCTAGGTCATGCCAAACATTCAAAGTTTGACAGAGAATCTTTAGGTCGGTCCTACATATCATCACAAAGTGGAATATCAAGTAATCATAGCCCTCCTGAACGTAAGCCACTCATTTTTTTTTTCATACTTCATACAAATAGAGGGCCCTTTCACATTAAAGCAATTTCCACCCTTGCGGGGCCATAAAGAACTAATCGTTAAGTATTAGTTGCGCACTTGGGCAATCTGAGCTGTTGGCGCAAACCGTAGTTTGAAGCATTTTAATTCAACCGTTTTTTTGGCTTAAATGGAAAATTGTTGCTAAAACACGCTGACTGCGGAAGAAGTACCTTACCAAACAGTTTTTACTAATTTTCCGCTGTTTATGCTGACTTCTCAATTTGTAGGACATTTTAGTACCACTAAGTCGTAGAAATGCTCAACACTGTATAATAATTGTGACTCAGATGCCATCATACCGATAAACTAAAAAAATACTAAACATTTGGGGTGTTTCCAATCCCTTTGCACATGACAGTTTAGGGCTGTTCTATCAGTTGTCGGTAAGCTACCGAAACAGTTCCGTTAAGAAAAATTTACGATAAGAGCGCTCTTGCCGATAGTGATCAGAGTTTTCGGAGCTGACGAAAATAAGCTGTTGCCATTTGTACATCTATTTAACGCGCCGCCATGCCAGACAATCTGATAAACCAGCGCACGGGGCAACAATGCATTGAGTGCGAGCTCTCAAAAATCCAATAAGGCCGGCTGTTAACGATATCATCGCCACTGTTGGTACTGCCGCCAGTTTCAATTAGAGACGATATCGATAGTGTTCCGGCATGAATTCGTTTGAACACCCCTACAACAGTTATTTATGCTCTGCATAGTGCAGGAGGTATTGCAATTACTGTAAGAATTACACGAAAAAAAAAAAAATTGCTGATTCAACAATTCAATTGCTAAAAACAGTAAGTGCAATGTTTCAACGCAGATTTTACAACAAAAAAATGCTACTTTAACCACATTGTAAACTAATTAGCATTTTCTTGTTGTAAAATCTGCGTTGAAACATTGTACTCACTGTTTTTAGCAATTGAATTGCTGAATCAGCAATTCTCTTTTTTTCCGTGTACTCTTACAAGCCTAGCTCTTTATCAAGATTTCCTCAAGAGAGGACTGATCTTAGAATGCATAGCATCTCCAGGGGTTAGTGTTGATGATCAATTGAAGATAAAGGTAAAGAGGTAAGTACATACTAAGATAGGAGTTACATGAGATAAGCATAAATTATCAAGCTACTGTATCCATCCAGTGACTCAACTCCTCTGATAGCAGGGAAATGTAGCTTCTGTTCACCTTTTTTATCTCCCATCTTTCCCTTATAGCTTTTCTTTATGCTATTCACTCCTGATATTATATCACTGGCAGCTTCATTTCTTTCATTGCCTGTAATTTTCTGATTCTTTTTCAGTTTTGTATTTCTCTAAAAATGATAGAATATCCATTAGAGGTGCATTAAATCATGCCTATAAATCTTTTAACATCTTTTGATGTTTAAAATGTTTTTGTGTGCAATAATATTCGTTTATTAGTTTTATTTTATCAGTATTACCATCCTATTTTCCCAGGTGACATTGCATCTTCCCACCGATTACGTTCTGTCAGTGCATCTTCACTTTTCACCGATGAAATTTGTAGCTCTGTAGGTGGCATTAAAGAAACTTCAAAAGTTTTAGATATGAATCGAAGTTTAATGGATAGGAACTCTCTGAATTCTTGTAAAAGTAAGTTGTGACAATTTATTTCTATTTTTTAATTTTTCTTTGATTTTTTCATTCTGAGTGACTTACTCAACTGTGAAAAGTCGGAGAATTTTGCATCAAACCTCATATTTTCTTGTCTTGTTGACATTTTAGACTGACTGCGATTGCACTCATACTTCTGTTGGAAAAGCTCAAATTTGCTCTAGATGTATTTGGTTACAAGTATTTTCACTCACATAATCCTTGAAAGGTCAAGAAATTTCGTTATGAAATATCTTAAAAAGTTCGATAAAATTTAAACAATTTTAAACTCCTATCTGAAACTTTATCTCCTTCTTTGTTTCATCAATATCTTTAAAACCTAGTTGAAGTTTTTTATTTCCGTGTCTTCAAAATTACTGATTCTGTTATTCAAGTATGTATCACAAACAAGTAAACTAAAGGTATGTTTAGGTATCAATCTTAATAGATACCACATCATTGATTCATGGCTAATCAAGATTTAATAATGAGAACTAAGCCCCTGTTTTAATCTCTGTGGGTGAAATTTCCACCACTTTAAGTATTCCAATTCATTCTATGACAGATCTTGAAAATATGTTGAAAATGTTACCTGAACTAACCCTAGTAGCACAAAGACGTAAAATTTACCAAAAAAAAATTCGTAAAAAAAGACGTAAAATAGATCAAAAATGAAATGCCGATGTAGTCTTTTTTACAAGAATAATTCGTAAAGAGTACAAGATTTTTTACGTAAAAAAATCGAGTTTCTTTACGTAAAAAGTTATGCGCAAAAAAACTCTTGCTTCCTGAAATTGATTAAAATGATTAATCGTAAAGAAAAAATAGACTTCTTACCTATCTGAATCTGTAGTCAATTAATTCTCCTTGAGATCAACTTTCAAATTATTATCTACCTGTCGGAAGTTGAACCTGCGACCTGCCCATCAGGAATCGAATGCGCTACCTACTGAGCAAACGAGGCCTTGGTATTATAGGGGCGAATTTGCGCTGTATAAGTGAATATTTTTATTGTTGAATATGCGTGAAAACGAATTGCAGAATATTTTTTGAATTTGGAAAAACTGGATAAGGGCAAAAACTAATATTTATCATGGATATTTTAAAGATGGTATAGGGTATACCTACATTCAAAAGTACCTTTGTTGTTCAGGAAAATGTAAAAAAAATTATGTACATTTTAATAATATGTCCCCTTTTATCTTTTTTTTTTTAAATATTATTAACATGCATCAATTTTTTATAAGAATGTCTTAACTATTTTAATGAAGATAAGTTATTAAAATCTTCTCGAACTTTTCAAAACTCTGGCTCATTCGTTCAGAACAATGTGTTTTTGTATCCAGTTTTCGGGCTATACTTTTTTTACAAAGAATCTTTAGGGGACATCAGAATTTTTTGCTTGATTTCCTTGTCATATAAACTACAAAGGTATCTCCTGTTCGGTCAATTCAGCGAATTTTCCGTTCAGACATTTTTTCCCTGATTTTCTACATGTAAAAAATCGCGGATTTTTTACGTACAGATTTCAGTTCAATCCCCCAGTTTTTTTTACGTCTTTGATCACAAATTTTTTACGTTAAGTTCTCAGACTCTGATTTTTTACGAGTTCTTTTACGTACATCTTTCGTACTTGTAAAATTTACCAGTTTTAATTTTTTTTCACGAATTATATTACAAGATGTGCTACTAGGGAATGAGAAAGTATCATTGTATATAAATATTATTCATACAACTCAGTGGCTTGTATTTATTGTTTGTAGGTCTGCCTAATCCAAATCCTGTTTCACAGCAAAGTGAGGTTCGGCGCACATCATCTGCTCCACCAATGAAATCAACTCGCTTGTCTTTGGATGATAAATTTTTATCTGCTCATTCAACTCCTAATGAGTGTAAATTCATTCCAATGCAAGCCCCTATACTTGATTCTGAAAATTCCCTCAGTAGGAACAAGTCTCACCACTGGAGCAACCACAGTTTACAGAATAAAAACTTACACACTCCAACAGATTCAAGTGTAAAAGGCAGTGAATTTGAATTAGTGTTAACAGATCCTTCAACAGATGGTAAATTTGAATTTTCCAATGGTGGTGCAAAGTTGGAATTTTGTATGGCAGAATCAGGTCTGACAAATTCCAATTTGAGCAGCAGAAATGTTTCGGCTCTCAGTAACTCGGACAATGAATGCGTTTTAGCGCAAACTCCTAGTAGCTCAAGGAGTTCCAAAACAAGAAATTTTGATTCCGATCACTCTAAAGCAACCACGGAAACCAGTAGGAATGAATCAACTCTAACTCCCGGAGGGATCAATCAAAATTTATCACACAGTAGCAGTACAAGTCAAACGTTGACCGCTCAAAATCAGAAGGAACAGGGATTTTACAGAGCCAGAAATCATAATACGTTTGCATCAAGCTCAAGTAGCTTGGCTGATCTGAAAAATAATAGCATCGATACTATTGATATCAAAACGAACGAAGAATATCGTCCTATTGGGCCCATAACTCGTCATCGACCGAAAGTAGTGACAAGTTCGTCGACTACTATTGAAAATCTCAAAGATGAAGAATTGCCGTAAGTAAATCGTTCAGTTCTGTAGAAAAGTTTTTGAAAATATTCATTGTAATGTTTTGTTTTTTAACAAACTTTTCTTCTTACGTTGGTCAGACCTTCAATGGTCTTAATCCAATTACACAAATCAGAGAAATGTAATTATGCCACCATCATAAGCAAAAATGCTGTATATTAAATACAGTCTCTCAACTTCTCTCCATATCTGCATTTTATCTACAGAGAATTTGTATGTATTTTCACAACAAACACACAAAATACAAATTTAAGCATTTTGATGTGTGCAAGATCTCTTCAAAATTCAATGCAGAACACGATTTGCCCAATGAAAATTACTGAAATCAACGCTCAACCAAGGTATTCATGTTTTTATGTTGTATTGGTTACAAAAAATTTAAATTTCTTGCTCAGAAGAAAAACCTAAGTTTACTTGAATCAAATCGCCCACTATAACAGTTTTGGCAGGCTTTTCAATGAGCAGTGTTCTTTCCCCACCCTGCGTCGTTCAAAATGTAAACAAAGAGCAACAGCTGAGCCAAAGCGTCAATATGAAGGTTGCCATTTTTTACTACTGCAAAGATTGTCGTGTGTAGTGTATGATTTAACTCAAATAGATCTTTTTTTTTTTTTTTTTTTTTTTTTTTTTTTTTTTTTTTTTTTTTTTTTTTTAAATGAGCAGGAAGTTCAAATTTATGCATCAAAAAACAATAATATATTGGTTAGGAATTACTGTTAGTAATCTTCATTCTATAAATCGTGTTTTATGCAAAATTTCAATGAGAATACATATCAAAATGCTTAAACTTGCGGCTTATCTAGGGGACCATTCTTGTCAGTTGCTTCAGTACACACTTCCAAGAAATTTTTCCACAATTATCAGTAAAACATGCCCTCCATCTTTCATGACCAAAAGAGATTTTGCGAGAAAAAACTGGAAGACCGTAATCAACTTAACACACTTTTATCGAGAATAGCAGTTTACGTGTGGTTGTTTTGCTCTTAAAAAAGTAATAAGAAATAATAATAATAATTACAGGATTTTTCATTTCGTTCTCTTTCACAGTCTCAGGTTCCTTTGGTTCTGGCAGAATTTTCTTTTAGAGGAAAGTTCATGCCCTGAAAGAACTTTATTCAGTGTTATTGTTCAAACTGCAAAAACGCATATCTTGTTTGCATTGTTTCAATACCCACTCCCCTACTTTTTTTTCTTTTCTTTTTACCCTCGAAATTTTTACAGAATATTCTTCAGAAAAGGAAAAGAAATCAAGGCAGTTTTCAAAATATGACTTTAAAGCGTTCCTTTTAAAAAACGAAGTATGACAGGGAATTTGCTACATTGCAGACCAAGATACGTTTTTGCAGTTCCACTGTCTTTATGTGTTTGGTCAATTGCATAGTTCTTTTTCTCTTTAATGCTTTTTTGGTGTTAGGCCCAGTTCAGTCAGAAGTACCAAACTGCCAACTTAGTTGTCAAATGATTCCAAACAAAGTAGAGTTTCTAATAAGAGCCAAATTTTCTTTTTCAGGAGTATCAAACCTGAAGTTGACAATTCAGCGTGCAGATTTTGGTTAAGTGATTCTGAAAACTTTGATCGAGATGAGCACAATAATAGCCTATCGACTATAAACTATACCATCAATACAATGTCAGACTGTAACGACAATGAAACATCGCAGTTGAGTTCCTTAAGCAGCTCCATGTTGACAGAAGTCTTGTCGAATTCAAGTATTTTATGTGATCTTGATCGGGAAACCTCAAGAATCAAGTTAAATCTGGATGGTGGAGGTAATTTTTGATTAGTAATCTTCTTGTTCTCGTCACAATGAATGGATGGAGAGATTGTAATTAATTTGCCATCAAACCTGATTTTTAGCTTTTACAAAAGATTTCAAAGTCTGAACAAAGAAATGGAAATAATTTTGATTCCAAGAACTGAAAAACTATAATTTAAGCTAAAACAGTTCATGTGAATTCATTTAAGAAGATTTTTTGAGAGATTTTTTAAAGATTCATTTAAGAGAATTTTTAGATTCAGTTGAGTTTTTTAAACTTTTCACAAAAGCATATTTCATTCAGTCACATGCAACTAAATGTTAAGACACCTCATTCTAAAGTTTTTGAATTATCCATAGACTACTATGTGAGGTGCGATTTTAAGCATTATGATGTATGTTTTCTCATCAAAATTTCACATAGAACACAATTTGTGCCATGAAAATTATTCAAAGTAAATCCTAACCAAGATAATAACGTTTTGTATGCATAAGTTCAAACTTTTTGGTTATCGAAAAAACCTTAATCAATTTGAATCAATTCACAGACTAAGCAATACAATTGCAGTCTCTGCAAGATGAAAAAGTGGATTTCTCAATCTCAGCAATTCGGCTCAGCTGTTGCCTCTTGTTTACTTTTTGAATAACTTAGGGTGGGGAAGAAACAAGGGACACTGCTTATTGAGAAACCTTTCAAAACCGTTGTAGTGTGCAATTTGATCCAAGTTGACTCTGGTTTCTCCTGTCAGCAGGAAATTCACCAATGTAATGCCAACTGAAAAATACTAAAAGGCACCTACCTGCTCATTTACATCAATTTGTTTTAAAATTTCAGGAACTGCCAATGTCAATGACCATATTGATGCAGGAATTCACTGTATTGGAACACCTGTGGATGTGGTTGTCCCAGTTTTGAACAAGTCCAAGTATGATATAATTTGGCAGATATCCTATGAAGTAACTCCGGTTGATCGCACACAGTCAAGCGTAAACTTAGCACACATCTGTGTTCCCCACAAAACATTCAAAGTGCCTTCAAATCGAAAATCCAATGTCCATTTGATCATAATACCAGTGATTGCAACAGCCATTGATGTCACCTTAAAAATCGAATCCTTATTCAAAGTAAAATCAGGTATCCGCTCAGTTGAAAGAAGCTCGATCTCTCAAGTTATTCGTGTCATTGGAGAAGATCCTCAACTCAGTGTTGGTTCAACCTCGGGTGTGATTTACTTCGGCAAGTTGCCGAACGGCTGCGTCAAAAGTGAAAATATCCTCTTGCAAAATACTGGGCACTCTCGGTTGCCAGTGAAGTTTAGTATTCAGGAACATGGAAAAGCTGAAGTTTACCAAGGACACACTATCATTGAAGCGGGGGAAAATTGGTCCAACACCATTAACTTGTTCGCTTTGAAATCGACGAATGGGACTTCAGATTCCTCTGATTATGAATTTATTCTTGCAGACTTGAAGATCCGACTGAATGTTGACTCAAACATAATCAACGAATCGCAATCATTGTGCATCATTCAGTTAAAAGCACATGTTCTTCCAGTTCAGCTGCTACATTCTAGTCGTTGCTCACCACTCATCCTGAGGAAAGAGGAAACATCACATATTAGTTCAGAGACGTTAGATATAAAAAATGGAAGTAAAATTCCGTTGAACGTATCAGCCAGTGTCAATATAGATGATGAAAATCTCAGGTCTTGCTTCGAAGTCAGGCCTATAACAGTATCTATCCCTCCAAATCAACTTGTTCGTTTTGTAGTCTCTTTCAACACAAAGAAATGCACCAAACAGAAAATGTAAGTATTGTCTTTGTCTTATTTTTTTCATTATCTCCTATTTAACATGAAATCAGTAGCCTTGCAGTTGTACAAATGCTGGCTGTCAATCTATGTTTAATAAAAAAAAAAAAAACAAAAAACAAAATTATTTAATCAATTATTCCAATGGCATCTCTTCCATTTGATTAAGTAAAATTTTGCCAAGTCGAATTGTCTGCAGACCATAAAAATTTCAAGTTAAATGGGATTTTGTCTTTGCCAATTTGCAGAACACACAGCAGGCGCCATTTTTGAGCTAAGCAGGAACCTGATGTCAGTGAGCAAGTGGTCCAATTCTAAAATCAGTGCTGAAATTCTACATGGTCCAATGCGACAAGCAGGCATCCATCAAAAACCCCTCTATACATTTGTGAGATCTCAGCAAAATTTTCTCCCGAAAGATACGATAGGGTTGCTACTGTAAGGGAAAACCTGGGAATGCCAGGGAAAATGATGAAATGGTCAGGGAAAAATTGTGAAGTCACCTTTATCTGTTTTCTAGAACGGTTTTGACATTTTGAACAACAAATACCTGTAAACTAATTGAGATTATGTCTTTTTAATCATTTGGCATATCTTCAATTGTCAGAAAATTCTAACTTAATGTGTCTGGAAATTCAAGGAAATGTACAGAAATTTCATTTTCTAAATTCTGTGGCAACCTTGTTTTCACAGATCTGGTCCCATCTAATCTAATCCAAAACTAATTCTTTTTCCTTTCCTTTCTTCAATTAGTTCTGCTGATATTCATCTTCAAGTTGAACCAAAGGGAATCATATTCAGAGCCCCGGTAGAAGTATTGCTTGCACCTTTATCAAATGCTGTATCTCTAGAACAACTCAACTTCCCGAAACAGAAAAATTCTGGCTCAAATCCTGCCTCTTGCCCTCCATCTCCAACGAGCAGTATTGCAAGTGCCTTCGGTCAGATGCAACTCGCATGTGATGCCGTGTGTCTAACGTGGCTTAGCGTACCTATTCACCATCAAAAAGTACAATCTTGTCTTATCAAAAATTGCGGAGCTCACAGAGAAAAATTACTTTTCCAAATTTCTGACAATAACAACTGCTTCAAGCTCCTTAAAAATGAGAAAGACTCAAGCTTTGCCAATGAAATCAAAATGTCACTACAGCCATCCGAAACCAAGAAATTATCCGTCGTTTTGTTTCCTTTATCACCTCAAACTCAAGCCTTTGGGCGCATCACTATCACTCGCTTCGGCCAAGACCATAATTCTAGCACAGATTCCAGTGGGCTTCCTACCAAGAGGGTCTTACCCTTGTATGGCTTTTGTGGAGAGTGTGATATTAAATTCCTTGGATTGAATAGAGATGTCGAAGATCGATTGTGGATCTACCCAGACTCTGAAACGTTCGAAAGTGCTTTCACTACGGAAAACAGTGGTGATTCAACAGGATTTATGATAATTGTGCCAGAACAATTCAGTGTTGATTACATTAAGCCTAATGAATACATCCTTGCGCCGAATGAATCAACTGTAGTCAATTTTGCAGTGAATTTATCTGCTTGCAGAATCGAGAATCTGCTAGAAAAACAAAAGAACAAAGATATTGTGCAGGTTGCCAAATTGACGCTGTATTTTGGCAACGAATCAACCCGCAGGAGGGTCAAGAGGATCCTAATGAAATGTAAAAAAAAGGGAGTAAAACTTTCACTTGAGTTAGAACAAAAACTTGCCTTACTTGCAGGTTTTTCTCCTAAATGTAGTTTATCTGTCGATCAGTTATATGATCCCATCGAAAGCGTGCACCTCCTTTTGGATGATATTCATGTAGAACAAGTTGGAGTTTTGATGAAACGATCTGATCTAGAATCAGCACTCTTGGACACTTCGCCTGTATTCAATGATCTCAATGCTACCGTGTAAGTTCATTTTTGTTTCATCATTCATTTCAGATATCATGACCATTATTTCTGCAGCTTTTGATTTTTTGAAGGACAAGAATAATTTGGAGGTTTTTTGTCGGCTCCAAAGAAGCAATGAAAATAGGTAATTTATGGCTATTTTTTTATTTGGCAGAGCGTAAAAATTAACATGGGAGACAAATCTTAAGGCATGTGATGCGTCTCGTTCTGATAAGGTTGGACCTACAATTTAAAGTAAATTTAAAACCTTTTGTAAAGGTACCTCACAGGATTCTCTTCAATACCTTCTTCCATTATTCACTTCCACAGGCCGTAGACCCATTTACGGCTTAGTATTATTGGGTCATCTTCATCTGAAGGACGGTTATTCTTTAAACCTTGCATAATCTGCTACTGCACTCAGTGAAATGCTTTGAAAACAAAGGTTCTTGATCAATTGAAAAATCGCACTTGAAAAATATCAGCTCATAATAATTCAATAGTTTTAAACTTAAATAATCTATTTACGAATATTTTTCCCCCTTTCTAAATTGCAATGCCAACCATGTCTTTATGTTGATCATAGAACATGAATTTTGTATTTTCTTTTCGAAAAAGGTTTTAGTAAACATCTTGTTAACCTAATTCCTGTTTGGACCACAACAAAAATAAACCGTTTCTTTTCTTTTTTTCAGGCGAGAAGTTTCCATCATGAGCCCTGCAACTTGTCTCAACATTGTACCACAAAGTTTAACTTTGTCTACATCCGGCAAATCTGAAGTTCTAAACATCTCCAACACTTCCAGTCGTGATACCTCATTCCATGCTGTTTACCCTCCAGAATTATCTGTTAATCCACCGAAGACAAACATTCAACCTCATCAACGTGTTCAACTTTCAGTCACTTACGTTGGTCCAAAATTACAGGGCAACTATTACGAGCAAAAATTAATTCGAGTAAGTTTTATTCGTAATATCTAAGAGAAAAAGCACCCTAGGCCCTACCTTCGGCTCCCCCTAGGTAAACTCATCCTTTTAAAAATTTGGGCACTAATAACAATATATATATTAAAAAAGAAAAAAGTCATACCAAACCGGAGCTACATAAGTCAAAAGTTAACAGTTCAAAATTTGTATTTTTTCAGGAAAGAGTTATTGAACAGGTTATTTGAAGGAGGCTGTAATCCTCAAAAGTCAAGTTTCGAGAGGACGTGAAAAAACTTGATATCTCCAAAAATTCTGTTTGAAAAGATTAATCGATGCTCTACATACCATCCGCGTTAAGACCACAGTCACATACAGAGAGTTGGAAGAATTTGGCAAGAAATAAAAATTTTTAAAATTTTGGTAGATATGCCCTTCTTCCACAAAACTGCTCAGTATTGTCAATTTTAGCAGTATTGTGTACCAATAATAACTGAGAAAAAAGCCTGGAATGGGCGGTCTAGGATACCCTGTATGCATTATCACTTTCAGTCTCTGCGTGATGTCTTATTTTTTTAGTGTGGTGCAGCTCAAGAATTGTTAGTTTTATCTACTGATGTTAACTTGACTACCGAGGACAAATATCAGCTTAGTTTAATAGTCCAATTTTGTTTTTTTTTTGTTTCACAGATCATATCCGATAAGTGTGAGACCAAAATATCTGTTGACATAAAATCTGAGTAAGTACTCAAAGAGATCTCTTCAAAAGGAATACTGGTAATGAGCTCGTTAACCAATTTCTAATTTTTGCATTTTCCAAAAGTTTACTGTCAGCTGATCACACAGTAATTTTTTCAGATCTTGTTAAAACAGCTTTTCCCTCTGAAAACAACTTTTGAAATGAAAAATTTGAAAAAAATGTACATATTTGCCTGCACTGTAGCAAAAATTCAATATGCCGTCAAAGTAGCCCTTTGAGCCATCGCTGAAAATTTAACCGAGGGACATCAGCAGCGTTTCTGTTGTGCTTGGAAATGGAGGTACGTAACAAAAAAAAGCAACTGGTTGTTTTTAGGAAAGGAATATGTTGTCTGTTTCTTGTTTGTTGTTTTCTTTCATGGTTTATTTTTTTTTTCTAATTACAATTAGTTGTTTTGTTTTGGCAAAGTATGTACCTTGTTATCAAGAACAACAGAGAGGACGCTGTTGTCACTCAGTCAAAGGTGTGGTGAAAACTCGAGGGGGTAATTTTGACACTACTGAATTTTCGGCCACAGTGCAGGGAAATGCGGTATTTTCAAATTTCGAATTATGTATTAAAATTTAATTTAAATCTAAATAAATTACCGCGTGATCAGCTGACAGTATTCTCTCTGAAATCGCACGGATTAGAAATAAGTTTTTTAGTTCATTGTAATATCCCTTTAGTAATATTTTTTAACTTTTACCCTAATGAGGTGCCCCTAAACCCTTAACCCCTTGAAACTTAACCCCCCTGAACCCCCTTTAACCCCTGAAGATTTATTCAGTGTCTTGTCGTGGAAAAAGCACTTCCAACTAGATAGGAAGGTCCAGTCAGTGCAGTTTTTAAAAATTAAACTGTCAACTTTTAATTTTGTCAATAAGAAATTTAAATCAGGAAAGCTTACCACCCTAAATGAGAATATCGTAAAAATCATTGTTTTTAGTTCTCTTTTTAAACTGGGTATTGAGTTTTTGGATTTTTCATGATGCTGATGTTCGTTGCACTTTGTAACAATATAGAGAGAAAAAAATTAGGTCAATTGATATTATATAATTTTATAATTTCTGTATGTAGACACATGGACAAATCATGCTGCAGTTACGATCAGCAGCACCATTGTGAGAGGTATCAAGCAATTAAAAAAAAAAAACAGCAGACAGAGTTTTCTGTTGTCTTTATACTCATGAGCTCAAAATTGTTCATCTCCATGGAACCACACTGTAATCAGGCAATGAATATCACAAAGTATACTAACATCCTGCAAGCTTGACAAAGCTTTGCAGATTAAAAGAAATAGCTCAACCTCTCCAAAAAAGTTCTTGTATGCAAATGTCACTCAAGTTGTGTAATTATAGTGCATTTTTATGAATTTTAATTAATTTTTATACGCGAAGCTTTTTGTGTGTTAATTTTTTGCTCATATTTTTATTCTCCAGGGAAGAAAATCAAGATCTCTTGTCCAACTTGATCTACTCAAGTGATTACAACATTGTTTTCCCTCAAACTGTCATTAATCATAAATCAGCTGTGACCATCAAAGTGTGCAACACTAGTCAGCACGATGTTTTGGTATGATTTTTTCCCCTTAGCTTTTCAGTTTCTTGAGCATGTAACTTACAACTAATACTAACAGTGTAATTCAATCTATTGTCTGTAATCTGAATTTAATGAACGTTGGCTAAAAAACTCCAACATACCGTTTTACAACTCGTGCGTCCACGGCAATCAGTTTGTGCAATCCATTAGTTGCTAGAATAGCAATGCTCTGTTTGCGATTGTTTTGAGGTGAGTTGACGAGGCGTCCTGTCTCCCTAGCTAGCGCAAGCTAAGGAAAGTGGAGCTCGCTTCTCTAGAGTTAATATTTCCCCACCTGATAATATGTGTAAAACTGTCGGAAAATGAACTTTTCAGACCTGAGTTTCGCATAATTGTTACATGAAAAGTTCGATTTTAAATGCTCATCTTACTCAGAAGATCATAAGGAACATCATATAACAAAATTTGGAAATTCAGCTAGCGCCGAATTTCTTAGTATCTCTTCTACAGTCCTTTAGCGAGTTACATAATTTCGTTTTGACAGCTGTATCAAATCTTTGCTCCACGTTAAAAACAGGAACTTCCATCCATTTCCTTTTTGTTTTTAATCTTTGCATTTCAATGTTTGGTAATTAAAAATATGAAAAGTATCATAATCATTCTTTACTTTTTTTTTTCACAGTTAACTTTGGCTCATTGTGATGAACCTTTCTGTGTTCCGTCAGAGAGCTTCCATCTCAAAAAGAAGTGGTACTGTAACTTTAGAATCCTGTTCCGTCCGCAGACATCAGGTGTGCACCAGGGTAACGTAAAGTTCAATGTTTACTACAGAGGTGAACTAATCTCAATTCTCACATATGAGTTGAGTGCCAAAGCAGTTAACCCAAAATAGTTTTTAAGTAGGGAAGGATAGTTAATGATTCTGATTTCAAGGGAACAGTCTAGATTAAGGAATTTCTGTGATCGTTAAAAAGTTAAGTTTCTTATTTTTTATTCATTTATTTTATTTAAATTCCTCTTTGGTTGTTTTATTCCATGACTGATTGTGATACATTTTCTAATGATTTAAACCTTTTTGTATCATTTAAGCACTATTTATAAGTTTCTAATCTGAGGTAATTTACTGTAATTTCATCACAACTTTTATTTATCAATTGTTACATGTAGTCAAAAAATAGCGAATTTTTCTCCTTGAAAATCATTTATCCATGCGTGATCAGTAAGCATTTACTTTTTACAGTGAAAACAAGTTTCTCTCTCTGTCGCAAAAAAGAGATCTGTTAGTTCCACATTTTGGCTTTGCTCGGTTTAATTGTAAGTAAATTCTAGGGTTGCCACAGTCAGGGAATTCCAGAAAAACTGGGAAATGCCAAGACATTTTACAGTCATAGGAAACGTTGAAATTTCAGGTAAGAGTTGTTAAGTTAACTTCACTTGCTTTCTAGAATGGGTTTGATGTTCAGAACAATAGATTTTGCGTGGAAACTATTTCAAAGTATGTCTTTGTAACTATCTGACATATTTTCAATTGTCAGGGAATTTCATTTTCAAAATTCTGTGGAAACCCTGCAATTCAACTGCCATTAATCTACCATTGTAGTTCTTGGATGCTGCTGGGATTTGTGCTCTTAGTGCTTTCTCGCTGTGTCAAATTTTGCGAAAAATATGATGGTACTATTGGCTTCCTGTGAAATCAATGCCTTAGCTCAAGAAAAAGCTCTGGAAGTTGCAGCCATAAAGGAGTGGGTTGCCCACTTTATGGCCGGATTGGACTTTATCCGGTCGGTCCGAGAGTCCACCTCTGTATCCAAACAAAATCTCCATTCACAGATAGGAGGTGAATATTTTTGCAGTGTTGCCACTTTATCCAAGGAGTCCAAGGCTGGAACCAAGGGAACTCTGCTAATGTATTGTTATCTATCTGTGCAAGGAGAGTTTAACTGGGTGTGGAGGTAAACTCTCAAGTTAATGTAGGCGAATCTCCATTACAACCTTCACTTGGAGAGCTTTCAGAGAAGTATCATATTTTTTGCAAAAGTTTATGTTAAAAAAAGTACACTAATCATAAATTCCTATGGCATTTAAGAGCTTCGCTAAAATAATGCTTGGTATTTAAGATTCATCCATTTTTTATTTCATCACCTCAATAATTTACGATAGAAAACGGAATTGTATATCAGTTGAGTTTGTTTTATATAATATAATCAAAATCTTTACAAAAATTGGTATCCCTCTAGAAACTCTTTTTTATCAGTTGTTTTTGCAGAGCAATTTCTATAAAATTTTGTCAGAAACTGGGAAAATCAATCTTCTTCTATTAATCAAGTACGATTGTTTTACTGATAATTGTGAAATGTAAACCTACTCATCATCATCAGGAACGACTGTTCAAGTGATTGAATCATTTTTATTTACTATCCGTATGGTTCAAAATGTACCCGGAAAGATTTTTGTAACTTAAGATTCCATTTCTCCGGTAGTACCATTAAGATGAAACTTCTTTATAACCACAGTAATAAGTTTCTTCTGTTTTATATTGATGACTATGTTTCTCAATCTAGGGAAGAAGGTATTTATGACCAAATTTGAAAACCATGCCTCTCCTTTTTCAAAATTGCAGAATTCTCATAAAATTTTACTCACAAATTACTGAACACTAATCAATGTAAGTCTTGTAAAATTTCCACAAATGGACTATGTTAAGCAGAAAGGAACCAAGCCACATGAGTTATTGTCATATTAAATTGGGCAATTCAGTTATTTAAATGAAAACGGTTGTGCAGATTTTTGTGTAAATCTCAGTGAATTTTCCGCGCGGTGTGCAGCAAATTCCTCAAAATTTTCCAAGGAGTCGGTAGAAACGTTCTGTTTCAAAAAATTAAATTGCCCAGTTAAAGGCAATAGCTGATGTGGCTTAGTTCCTCTTTGCTAAACGCGGTCCAATTGCTCTTCCGTGTTGACAGAATAATCTATGAAATTTTCAAGCAATAATGCTTGCTTTTTCCCTTTCAAAACAAGGAAATAGGTATAGAAATTTTGAATCACACAACCGATTTGTGAGGCCTCCGAGTTTCGCCGATCGTAGGTTTCCACATTCTTGCATGCTATTGATGGCTAAAGTGCTGAACCATGCATCTCCATTGCAGTTTTTCAAAATATCCACTCATATTTTATCATTTGAAAAAGAAACATACCAATTTTATAGCTTGAATTTTTTACAGAACATTCTGCTAACAGAGCAAAAAAAAATCAAGGAAGTTTAAAGAAAATAAATATAATAGTTTTCCACAGAAAAAGTAAGGCATGACAGGAAGTCTGCTATGTCGCACACGGATATTTTAGAGAGTTTAGCACTCCAGCCATTGATTAGATGATAATTGGACTGAGTTAAGCAGAAGGGAACCAACCCACATTTTGGAAAAAATTGAGTTATGAGTCGTTTTGAACTCAACCACTGCTCTATTATCCATCGCCAAAATTTCAAAGTTTTTGTTGGAGCAACTTTTGCAGAAATTGAACTTGAAGTTTATCTTATGCATTGCGTCTTATGCAGGAGCCAAACTTTAAACCTCTTTTTCTCGGTTCGATCCCGATGTGGCTTGGTTCCTTTCTGTTTAACTCCGTCCAATTTAGTAATGTACCTTGAAATCTTGTCTCCAGCTCCCTCTCTACCTTAGCCACCAATTAATCTATTATTGTAACAAAGACAGGCAAGCTGAGCGGCAGATTTTGCTTCTCTTTTCTGTCTTACTCATAAGTTTAAGTATCAGTCAGGTAAGATAAGATGCAAGAGAGGAACAAGATTTCAGTACACGCTACTCAAATAATACTTCACAGCATTTTAATAGTGTTTCTGTGGTGAACCCTATTTTGATTTTGGTGATATACATAGGTATGTTTTTATTAAAATTCCTGAAAATTGTCTCTTCAAAAACTTACAGTATTCAAAAAAATGCCCAAAAAATAGATTGGTAAACTTTATTGAAATTACTACTCTTTCAATTTGTGATTAAATTAAAGTGTTTTATTATTTTTTGTTTTACACTCTCCCTAAGAAGATAAGTTGCAAGCAACTTTGAACGAAGAAGCAAAGAAAGAATATTTAAAACACCTGTCTTTTTTTCTTGATGAAATAATTATTAAATTTGTTGTAAAGAGTTCACACATTACTACCTCAAATCATTTCTGCTTTTCAAAGCTCCTGTGATTTAAGATATACGTTTTTCATTTTTGTGTATGCAGTCAGTTTTTAGTAATCTATTGCTATTTCATTTTTTTCCTTTCAAAGGTCGATTAAACTTATTTATCCCAGTTATACAAATTTTGCGTTGTAATTTGTTCCTCATGAATCATTTTTCCTCTTTTTTCTTTCTTTATTTTTTCTTTTTTTTTCTTACAGACTCATGTGTCTAAATGACTCAAAACTTTATTCTAAATAATGAATTTCATATTTCAGATTATCGATGGCTGCGAGTGGATGTGTTCAATTTTTTAAATTTTTAGAGACTATATCGACGTCGACACTGCAAAAATGCATACCTTGGTTGCAGCGTTTCAAAAGCCCTGTTCCTATTTGATTTTTTAAAAGAAGATCAAACCAACATCATGGCTTGAAATATTCACAGAATATTCCTCACATCGAGAAGAATAATTACGGAGGTGTTCAAGGAATGGTATTTAGTAGTTATCTATGTCGAAAATAAAGTACGACAGGAAGTCTGCAATGCTGCATACTGAGATTCGTATTTCTGCAGTTTCACCAATGATATGAGAAAAATTCTTACTCACAACCAATGGTGAGAGAAGTACTCGTTATTTAATTTTGATGAAACTATTGCTATCCCAAGGCATTTGACACTAAACGCTGCAAACTGAGATATACATCTTTGCAGTATCAACATTGGTTTAATTCTGAAATTAGAATAGACTTCAAGTTGGTCTGTGATGTTTTTTCAAAGGAAAAGTGAAGGCTGTCCCAAAAGTTTTAGAATAGGTGCTGAATTTTGCAGATCCCTAAAACTAGTGAAATGATCTGGTCACACCTGGAAAATCATATCATTTTCTTCAAAACAGAAAATCCATCACTTTGACTTTTGTAGTTATCATCCATGCTGAAATGACCATGCAACATGAAAACCTGCAAAGCCCTAAAAGTTAACATGAAGCATGTTAACTTATTTTTGGGAGAAGCTCCTATACTTATCATTAGTCAACGCTTAATACATTTACAGACTCTCAAAGTCCTACGGGAGATTGTCATTTTCATTTTAGAATTGAAAATAAATTTTAAAACCAACAAGATAGCGGGTTTTGTATCTGACAGTAAATCAACATAAATTTAAAAACAAAATAAAATTCATTGTAGTTAATTTTAAAAATTGAAATAAAAATAGAAAAATAAATAAAATTAGATTTAATAATTTGACCAAATAAACCAACCAAGATTAAGATTCAGATAAGTCTAAACTCTAAGTCTGAACTCATAATACGATTCGTGGACTTCCTTCCGGGGACGAAAGCTCATCAATTCAAAATTGGCGCTTTATACTAGTGAACTGTTGCTACCAATCAAATTGCTGATTGGGAGGGAACGGGAAATGAAATGACATTTCTGTCACGCGGAACGTGTGGAACGAAGAGGGGGAACGGTTGTAGCGGACATTGTTTTCTTTCGCATGTAGGCCTTTCTCGATTCGTGTCAAAATGGTGAGTATTTTGCTGAAATTTATCCATTTCCATCAATAAATTTATAAGTTTTTAATGTGTGTGGCCGCGTTAATTGTGTCTATCGGTCTTAGCGCCATCAATTTCAGTGATATTTCGTCTGAGTTACCATTATAATTATACTCTGTCTTCAGCACCAACATGTCGTTGAAGCATGTCCAACCGGGACCGACTGTGACTCTTTTACATTTTGTGAAATGGTTGTGTTCGAATTCTTGTGAAACTATACATATAATAATCTACGCTAAAGTTACCTCTAGTTCTTAAACTAGAATGTCGTAAGTCTTTAAAATTTGAACCTCTCACTGAAGGTACTCTGAGACGTTACCCTAAGAGTCGAACACAGATGCCTGTCATGTACAGTAAATTTGTGGCCCAAGAGAAGTAAATGCATGCCTCTTGCCTAGAGAATGCGAAACGTTATTGACGCTTCCATCTTTGAGTTTAACACTGGAAAGATGTTCGAAGTTGTATTAATTGCCATCTACGCACTGTCTATTTTGATCAACCTAACCTATACTCTGTCAACCTTGGACATAACGCGTATTTTCATGAACTGTACTCTGCGATGGCACATTCGTGGTCCATGACAAGGTTTACTCCGTTCTAGCTCCTTCTTTAGAGCCGAAGCGCAATTATTCGTGAATGTGATGATGGTGCAGACAGGTCATGTGGCGTGTGCCAGCATTAACCTTAAATCCCGTGATAGGCATGTGCCTATATTTATTTCATTACTACCTCTCAGTTGCCCATCTTCTGTTCTGCTTACACCTTAAAGAGCAATTTTGACAAGTTTGTGACTGAACCCAATAATGCAACTACTGCCAAGAGTCTCCTGCTATAGTATGTACGCCAGTTTGGTGTCTGAGTAGACTCACAGCATTGTTATCCTCATCACGAAAGTCCTCTGATTTATGCACCTTCAGCTGTGAGCTGAGTGCTTTTAATTTCATTATCTTGAGCTTGTGTAATTCATTTGAAAGAAGAATAAGTACTGTGTACGGTACCGGCGACTTTTCAGTGCTTCCTAAATGTGTCAATTCTTCCGTTACTTTCTCTAACTAATATACTACTGTTTACTGAATTGCAGGCTAGAGGTCCAAAGAAGCACTTGAAGCGTTTACACGCGCCGAAAACATGGATGCTGAACAAGCTTGGTGGTGTGTTCGCTCCTCGACCTAGCAGTGGACCTCACAAGTTGCGAGAATGTATTCCACTAGTTGTATTTTTACGTAACAGGCTGAGGTATGCCCTGAACAACACAGAAGTGACTAAAATTTTAATGCAGAGACTTATCAAAGTTGATGGCAAAATCCGGACTGACCCAACCTACCCAGCAGGTTTCATGGGTAAGTAGCCTAATCACTTCTCATTTTTGTTAGGGAGTTTTTGTACTTAAATGTGATTTTCAGCGGTCGGGAAATCCCAGGGGAATTTCGAGAGTTTTACATTGGTCTTGCAACTCTAGCAAATGCTATTTTGAGAGTAGCAACAGTTTCTGACAGCCTCTCCTCAAAATTTGAATTTATAGAAGTGCAAATTAAGCTCTAAGCTCAGCTTAAGTCAGTGCATTTCAAAGAAATTATCCAAGTGGAAGTTTGCCCCAATGGTGGGGGATTCAGAAACTTTGGAGCCTGGGGAAAGGAAGAAAAGTCTGAGTCAGGGAATTCGAAGATTAACAAACTATGAAACCCTGGTGTAGAAACCGATTCTGTAGATGGAAAGATTTTTAATCAGAAATGCCTTCCTTTTACACCACTATTAAGTGCCTATGGAATCATCAGTACATAATTCATTTTCAAGCCATTTTGAGTAGTCAAATTAACGTGCTAGAGTTTCAGAAATCTGAAACAAGTCATTAATGGCTAAAGTAATTACTTCATTCCAAAATTATATTCCCTCTACAATTGTCTGTTGATCTAAATGTCATCTTCTGCGACGCATTTTTGTGGCTTGATGTGGCCTCAAGAATTGAACGACAGAAGAAAATTATTATCAGCTGTTTTCGGTGAGTGAGCAAATCAGGCATTTGATTGCTCTCTCAATCACAGCTGAGACATCCACTCATTTTTCTGTAGTCTCTTATTTTAATTGGCAATTTCAAGACTCCTCTGAGGTTCTTGAGCAGATTAGCCATTAGTACAAATACCTTCCTTTCTTGTCACTATTCAGTTGGTTATAGAAAATCAGTACATGAGGAGTTCAGGATATGAAGTCATCTTTCGCCTGAGGCATTATTCTGATTGTTTCAGTTCTGAATTTTCTGGTAGAATCTGTGATGGCTCTTTTCACAACATTCTTGATTACCAGTCCTTATTAGTGCCAAAATTATTTGTCAGAAAATTATTCAAAACTATTAATTGCAACCTCAGTCCCTTGATTCAAAAAAAAAAAGAAAAAAAAAAGCTTGTATGTCCTGAACAAAGCGCTAGGTGTCTTTCCCCTGTATTACCCAGAACTTCCTCAATGTGGAGTGGAAAAAAAATCAATAGACCCTTAGAAAGGGCTGTCCAGTCCACTGCCAGTCTGCTTTTACCATTTTTGTCAACTATATTTTATTAAATGGATATAAAACCGTGAAAGTTGGCATGTTTTGAGCAGTTCAAGGGGGCCTCCCTTAAGCCAATAACATTTCCAGTGGACTCACCTCCACTTCTACTGTTGCTTGGTTATTTTACATCTTATGAATTTGCTTCTAGAATGGAAAGCTAATTTCTTTTTCTTTTCATTACAGATGTCATCAGTATTCCAAAAACAGGAGAATTTTTCAGATTGATCTATGACGTCAAGGGACGCTACACAGTGCACCGAATCACCTCTGAAGAAGCACAGGTACGAGAATTAAAAATATTTAATTTCTTTTTTTCTCATGTAAAATTTACATAATGTATTTAAGAAGTGTCGAGTATCTCCTTTTGTAATTGCATTTAAGTAGCCTGTCAAATTCGACTGATGGTTTAATGCAGCAGGAGTTTAATCACTAATTATCAATGATCAATTTATGATACATCAGTAGCAACTCATTGCAGAAAGTAATTTCCAGTTAGTTTTCTCTTCTGATCAAGTCACAAACTTCTGCGACGCATTTTTGAGGCTGAATGTAGTTTCAAGAATTGAACGACAGAAGAACATCATCATCAACTGTTTTCGGTGAGGAAGTTGGTCAGACCCATCTGTGCTTTCTCAATCACAGCTGTGACATTTTTTAATAGCTCAGTCTCTCATGTGTGTTCCATTGTTATCTGTAATTCCCTGCACACATTCTAAGTTCTGAAGTCGATGCTTGGTCAGTGACCAGTATCATTGAATTCAACATATTACAGCGACATCTCCAAAACAAGACTTTATTTCGTTTTATAATTATATTCCCTTTCCGATTGTTTCTTGATCTGAATGTCATCTTCTGCGACGCATTTTTGTGGCTTGACGTGGCCTCAAGAATTGAACGACAGAAGAAAATTATTGTCAGCTGTTATCGGTGAGTGAGCAAATCAGATATTTGATTGCTCTCTCAATCACAGCTGAGACATCTACTTTGTGTAGCCTCCTACTTTAATTGGTTTCCACCACTGCAGTTATGTTTTGCGCTGGTTTTTTGGAAAACAGGATTTTCCCAGCATCATGTAATGATGGGAACTTTCCTCATTGCACTGTCATCACATCATTATTTTGCGCCAAACTACGTAAAATATTCCTGTATATTTCACATCCATAGCCTTCTGATTTTATCATCACCTTCTACAACGCGTTTTTGAGCATAGCCTTCTGATTTTATCATCACCTTCTACAACGCATTTTTGAGGTTGGTTTTAACCTCAAAAATTGAACGATGGAAGAAAATCAATTTCAGCTGTTTTCGGTGAGAGAGTAAATCATATTTTCGATTGCTCTCTCAATCACAGCCGAGACATTTTGCTCTGTTTGCTTGAAGCTGTAATGTAAAAAGTGTTCATTTTGCCTGTAAATATTGAGTGTTTATGTTGATGTTACCACAGTCCTGGGATAAATGGAATTAGATTCAAATTCTAAAATTATTTTTCCGTTTAACCATTCTGATCAATTCATTCCCTTCAGCGACGCATTTTTAAGATTGTAATTAATCGTAAAAATTGAACGACTGAAGCAAATCAATATCTCTTGTTTTCGGTGAGGAAGTAAATCAAACCTGTAATTACTTTCTCAATCACAATTGAAACATTTCACTAATCCTGTTTTAAGTTCCCACCCTTAAAATTGGAGATTCAAAGAGTCCTGGACAGTCTTTGACTCCTTGAGTTTCAAAGTTGAATAGCTTGCCTGATGTCTATTTCCTTCTTACTGGAACAAGTGGCTTAGAATCAGATTTTTCAATGAGCAGAGCTCCCTCATTGAGACAAAAGTCAAATCATTTTCACATCAAGACGAAGTCTATCTGAACGTATATATTAACCTGTTCAGTGATGCTGAACTGGGGCTAATCAGAGCTTGATTTTTTTCTCATGACGCGGTAAGCGAGCTCCTGTCCTCAGGAATGTAGTGACAGACGAAGTTCGCTCTCTGTTTTTCCTGGCTCTTTTGTGGTCTTATTAGGAACTTCTGCGACGCATTTTTGAGGTTCATTTAGTCTCAAGAATTGAACGATAGAAGAAAATTATTATCTGCTGTTTTCGGTGAGAGAGCTGATCAAATTGAAGACTGCTCTCTCAATCACGGCTGAGACAAAGTTTTCTGCTCACCGAAGACTCCTCCCATTGACGAGATACAGAATAGTTCATTGGAGGGCCTTGCACGGGAAACCAATAGATTCGGTTACTCGCTAAATTCTGTTATTATTTGAAATTATGTTCATTATAAGCTCTTAGACTCCTAATCCGGCTCAGTAAGTTGCAAAAGACATTTCAACAATGAAATATAGCTGGTTCCAAATTTTGTGGTTTCTAGTGTAGTGTCCTCTGTTCAGCTTTCAAGGCTTCTCATACTTGTTTTGTCACCAGGAGTCATGTTTCTAACCTAATTACTTGTGTCCTAAGGAATGTGTGCTCTCCAACAAAATTGTCAGTAGCATGTGATGATATCTCTTTTCTTTGCTGTGGAGACAGGAATGAAGAAATACTTGCAGTATTTATCTAATTGCATAATTTAACATGCAATCATCAGTCCTAGTTCATTTCGCTTCAAAAAACTTTTTATTCATTCTGTAGCCACCACGTTTCTTACATTCATATTCCTATGGTGTGTATTTTCTCATGATGAAAACAAATTTTCTAAGGCACTTTCCTATGATAGATGCCAGCAATGATTTTGCTCTTACTCATCTGACAGAATTCAAATCCAACATTCCGATTTTTGGTCTCTCGTGTTCATAAACCAAGGCTCTGTGAAACTGTGAAGGGTTAATGATCTCTGCTTAAATTCATTGTCATATTTTTCTCTTCCAGTTAAGTCGGAAATCATGATTTTATGTAAACATTCTGTTTCTTTTTCAGTATAAATTATGCAGAGTGAAGGCACGTTCAACAGCTCAGAAAGGTGTTCCTTACATTGTTACACACGATGGGCGCACCATTCGCTATCCTGATCCTCTCATCAAAGTGCACGATTCTGTTCAATATGAGATTGCGACTGGAAAAATCTTGGATTACCTTAAATTTGAAACAGGTATGGCGCTTAGTTAGTCCTAAGTTAGTATTAGTTCGTATACATGTGTTGGCGTTTATATTCAGATACTGAAGAAAGCCAACCCAGCGATACACATAATTTTATTGTCTCATGGAAAAATTACATGCTATCAAAGCATAGATTCCTTATAGCCCTTCACATCACTAAATCAAGCTATCAAATTGTCAAGGTTGTACTAAAATGAAAAGTTTTGATGGGTGTACAATAGGACTTTATAGGACGACCTTGCCAATTGGATCCCCTGACAAGATAGTCTAACTAGGGCTTTTAGTTTTGCGAGTTTTTCCTTTAGCCACTATCGAAGCTAGTCCATGGAAGAATTTTCATGACTGGTCAATTTGTGGCTTAAATCAAATTTATTAACGGTCGTTAACTGGGTTCAAATGATACTCTTTTAACATTACCCAAGATAAAAACATTTAAAATTTTCAAAGTAAAATTGACTCAGTTAGAGCCTTACAAAAGGTTTGGTCGCTGTCGCTCCTCTCTTAATTTAAAAAAAAAAAACTGTTTTGAGTTTTAATCTTCAACATGATTGATTTTATATGGTAAGTAAAAAAGAATACTACTTGCGGCAGGTCAATGTTGGAAGTATTTTTCGCAGAGAGCATCATGTACCTTATCCTTTCTTATCAAGGTAGAAGCATGGCCAGGTTGCTGTCCTATAACCTGTTATTTTTCAAAGCTACCGTGTGCCTATTTCTAAGCTGTCGGCAATAGTACATCAGCTCACAGTAAATAAATGGTGGATACAAACATTTACAACAACTATCAATTGAGTGTTTTTTATAGCAATTTACTTACTTGTTGTGAAAACATGCCCAAAATAGGGATTCCTACTTTTTTTGACAAGTTTTTTCCTCATATCATACAGCTGCTTAAATGTATTCTGTCAACTCCGTGTAATTGTGGACAAAATCATTGTGCTACAGCAATGAGAATGCAAAAATAGCTATGTAGGACTATCCATGAATTTAGTGATGCACTTTACTCCATTTTAGACCCATATTATCACATGTTACTTGCAAACATACAAGAAAATAACTCTATAAAATGGCCCGAAGTGTATGTAACAAGGTTGAGAAACGGTGCTGGGGCCACACCATTTTGCGAAGAAAACATAGCCAAGAAATTCAAAAAAAAATTTAATTAAAGTCAGAAAATCACCTTTTTTTTGCGCTAATGAGTACCAGTACAAGACGGAGGGGGGAGAGTGTTCAGCTCGCAAACATATTTTATATGAATCAGCCATTATCGAAGCTTCGGGTTGTTCAGATTTTAACGCCCGCAAGTCAATATATGGCTAATAGCAATTTTATTAACGGTCGTTAACTGAGACTAATTGAATGCTCTTTTAACATTACCCAAGATAAACACATTTCTTGTAGCCCTACATTTACTTTCAACTTATTTCTCAACAAAATCTCATGAAAAAGTGCGGATTTTTCTTTTTGTGTCTTCGGGACCAGGTTCATTTGGACCACTTTTTGCAATTAGAAACTACCATTTTCAGTTCATTGTAGACCCAAAATTTGTGAAATTAGGTTCCCTACATAGCTAAGTACTTTCAAGTAGGAGCCAGAAATTGCAGCTCTATATTGCTAAATTCAGTCCATTTTTCCTACAAATAGCATGATAAGTACACCCTTCATTTGACGCCAACATGTTAATCTTATCTCATGTCAAGCTGTAAAATTTTTTATGTGCTAGCCATTATCGAAGCTTCGGGTGGTTCTACTTGTGACCCTCAGAGGTCAATATATGGCTTATACTAATTGTATTAACGGTCGTTAACTGAGACTAAACGAATGCTCTTTTAACATTACCCAAGATACAAACATTTTTCCTTGCTCTTCTTGTTTTCTTCATTCATCTTTTCGAAGTGAATTATTTTACTGGTTTTCTTTATTTTTTAAACATGCATCTAAATTATTATTTCTGGTCTGTATTTTTTAAGGAGCCCTTTGCATGATCACTGGAGGTCGTAACTTGGGTCGAGTTGGTGCAATCGTGAACCGAGAAAGGCATCCAGGATCATTCGATATTGTCCACATCAAAGATACAGCTGGTCACGTTTTCGCAACTAGGTAAGCTGGTACTTCTTTTCTCACCTCTACAATATGATATCAATTTGCAGAAGCATCGTTTCGCCGGTCCAATCGCAAGAAAATGTTTCTGTGCCTTAATAGAGAAAAATACAAATACTTCGCCGACAATTGTCAAGAACCCTGTATTACCAAGTATCTAAACATCTATCCTCCAATTTTTATTAAAACAAATGTCAGTAACTGTAAGTTCTTTAACTCCTTGAACTTGCTGGTTTTTTTTTTTTTTTCACACCTGTATTTGGCATCTCAAAAGACACCATAATTTTGAGACCCAACATGCCCTTTTCGCGTAACTTCAGCTGCCAAATACAGTTTGCGCACTTCGGTGGAAGTATCAGACCAGCAGGAAGAGGCAATGTGTGCCAAATTTATAAAATTTTCAACGTTTTTGCTCATTTTTTATAACTTGGAGGGGAAAAAAACCTGGCGAAACTTATATATCGAGATAGCCTCTTCAGAAAATCTCCCTGCATATGCTTCTGAAATGAATTAGTTGAAGTTATAACATTTGTTTACACATTCGAATTGGAAGTATGAACCCTCTTCAGTACAACTTTGCAGGCGTAAACCTGTTTTAAAATAAAACATAACATCTTGATTTGATTGTGTGTTACAGGTTACACAATGTGTTTGTCATCGGCAAAGGTAGCAAAGCTTACATCTCTCTACCGAAGGCCAAGGGTGTGAAGTTAAGTGTTGCTGAAGAAAGAGACAAACGGTTAGCAGCCAAAGCTGCCAAACGTTAACTTTGTTCTTACATTTAATTTTGTTAAATAAATTTTTTATCGTGTGATAATTTTTTTACGCTTTTGCTTTTTTATTTACACTTTCATTTCTTCTCATCTATGGAAGTCAGTTGCAACTGAGAAAATCATTCATGCAGTGATAGCGAGTTAATGATTGCATTGCTTTGATTACTGTGTCACTGCTCTCTACACTCAATACAAACGGCGATCTTTCAAGAGACTCTCAGAAGAGAGAGCAGCTGCCTCTGAGAGAGGCAGTACACTCTTTCTGTAGTCAACTTAAAATACCGAGCTTAAAAGCTTTTTTTGGAAATATTCTTTTTTAATTGAGTTTCAGCAAGGTACATACATAATTCTTGCAGAATTTATCCTGATCAATGATAGCTCCTTCTAATTAAATTATCTTTGAATTGAGACTCAACAGTATCGCCTTCTTTTCTGACTGAGAGTATGCCCATCAGACTCTGTATTTAATCCTTTTTCTTTGCAACAATTTGATAGAGTTGAACAGATACACATCAAGTCAGATCGTGGATGAAAATGAGATTAAAGTAGTTGGGAGTCGAGTTGTTCATTGTCTGCTGCTTGAAATTTTAAGTTGGAAAAAAATACTTTCAACTTTGTTTCCTCTTTTATTAATGGAGTAGCTTCTCCAGGGAGGGATTTCTGCATACTTTAAAAAGAGGCAATCACCTTTTTAAACTTGAAAACGGTTCCTAAACTTCAAAATTGAGCTCTATTTAGGGCTGCCTGTTACCTCACAGCTTTGCCAAATTGGAAAATTTATCTATAATTTTCGTCTTAAATGAGCTCTAACAACAAAATCCTTCTCAAATGTTCAGAAATTTCTAAAGAATTACACAGAATTCCTGGGCTACATTTTCAGCAGAAAAGAGACATGACTAGTCATAGACTTTCCCCCCAATAGAAATATGACTACAATTGAATCAGGACGTGAGGAAACCGCTAATGTCCACTTTTCTAGTCTCAAGTTTTTTGAGTTCATGGTACTTTTTGGAGTTGGTTGCAACCAACCACGAAAGTGGCGCTAAAACTAGTCTTCAGATTTCCTTAATCCCAAAACAAGTCCTTTCATCACCTTTATGGTTGTGTGGACGCTTAAAAGTGTTCTTAACTCAAAAAAACTTACAACTAGAAGAATGGACATTATTGGTTTCTGCATGTCCCAATTCAATTCTCTTTGACATGCTGCCATCAAGAAAAAGGAAGGTATCGAATTAATTAATTCTATCCCGCAGATAAAAGCTTGCCAGCATCATTCCATTGGTTCATAATTTTTGAAAGACATTTTCTTAGGAGAGATTTCCTTTAGTGGAAAGTCAGTACCTTGGAATATATAACTTTAGATAGTCTTTAAGAGGGCAATTTCTGACCTGAAATGTTCACTGCTCTTTCCTTAGGGGCTGACAAAATTTTCCTGTTCCACCACCGAACAGGAAGTGCTTTGAATAGTAGGTAATTCTCTTACTTGCATTAAATCGAGAGATACGTATCTGTACTATTACTAAAAGTTCACATCATTTTAGACCTCCCTAATTATTTCAGAGGAAAAAATAGCTGTTAGCTGTAGTGTGATTAATTTTTATTATGAAGTGCCTTAACATCGGAGGCCATTTACACCTCTGGAGAAATTAACATGAAAATACAAAGAAGAGGATGGAAAAAAGGAAGAAATTTAGATCCTATGAGAAAATAAGATAATATCAAAAGTAAGTATGAAAGGAGAATTCAAGGAAATGAACAGCCGAAGTCGAAAAATGCCCAACTCCGATTGCAATGTTCTATCTTTGCTCACATTTTATTCCCATTTAAACGGCAAACATCATCATTTTTTCCGTCCTACGCACCAATAAAATTCTCTGTGTAATATTTTTCATGATACAAAAATATTCCCGGCAAATTGTAAGGAGATACTTAATTTTTTTTCTCTCTCTTAAACATAAAGGAAATTTTCAAACCCTGCAATGCACATACGCATTTTTCGACTTTGGCCAACTTATTAATTACACCAGGCTCATTTACACGAATTTTCTACATGATTTGAAATGATGAAATTAATATTCTATTAGTTTCTTTTCCTCCCCTTCCGTAATAAGTCATCTGTCAGAGGGTGGCGGGGGAGGAGGTGTAGTGATTTTAAACTACCGCTGCGACAGTGATAAATACCTACCAAAAAAAAAAAAAAAAAAAAAAAAAAAATTTATTCTAAATTTCTCGAGTACGCACTTCATTTAAATTATGTCGCTGCCAGAACCGTAAAAGGGGAATATTACTACTACCCATAGTATTGGTATAATATAGCAAGTTAGTGTAAAAATCCATCGCTAGAGGTAAGAATATCTGTGCGGTTGGGACGCTTTGTCACCAGATTACGGTTCTGCGCATGCGCCAGCTCTTCAAAACAAGTTTTCTGTTCAGTTGACCCGTGTCCTCAGGATTGGTTGTCGCGTCCGCGCTGCGGTGTACATAGTTCGCTGTGACGTTTATTTTTGTTTTGGTTTGTTGTGTTTCACATTTTTATCGCGTGAATATCGACAGTTTATTTCGAAGTGAATGTTCGTCATCTATTGATCATAATTTTCAGTGCAATTATTGTGTGTTTTAACAGTGCTACAATGAAGTTCTTTATTTGTGATAGTGTTGAGTAGGCCTTGAATAGTGAAATCACCCTCGGGCAACCTGTTCCGTAGGATAATTAAATCGCAGGTAACGCTCTACTCATTTTCATTGAATCCGTCGTTTATCACCACTGTACTTTGAATTATTCCCTCATTACATGGATCTGTTGACGGCATTTTATCCTTTTATTTCCGTGCCGAAATTCAAATAATTTCAAGAAATCACTGTGCTAAGAGATCGGCATGCCTCTTGGTAGGCGGGGAATGTAGGCTTCTGGGATTGGACTGTTTTCTCTAAAATGGCCGCCATGAAGCAAGCGCCGTAGAGGCTTGAATCAACAGGTTTTAAACGACTTGTAAACGAAAATATTGCCGAAACACCGGCTGGTTTTCGTATTTAGTCGAATCTTCATGTTAAATTTCAGTTTTTTTTTATCTGAGAGTTTGTAGTTCCTGATGATCTAGTCAAATGGTAGATCTAGTCGACGTAAAGCTGGTCTGTTCTCTTATCCCCATCAAAATATTCTGCAGCAAAGCTTTCCTATTTTTACACACTTTTCGGCAAATCATTTAAAATATCTCATATCTTTGTCACCTCATAGGGTGCTGCACGCAGTGGTTCCAGCCACGGTTTGCAAGTTGGAACAAAATTTTTTGGAAAATGCTCAGATTAAATCATTCCCCTTTGAGACAGCCATGATCGGAGTCAGGAGCATCTACTTTGTTATGTAGTCGTTCAGGTTATTCTTTGCAAGAAGAGGTGGAAGCTCTAAACTGTTGTTAGAGTATACAAATCAGTTAATTCGCACTAATACATGGAGGGAATACTATTTACTTGTGAAAAGTCATTATCAGGAGTTTCTGAGGAAGTCAGCACATACTTCCAAAGGAAAATCAGTCCATGAGGTGCACTGGGTTGAGAGCTTATGGTCTGTGCAAGGATTATTCAACTTTTAGAAATTTCTCGCTAGAGAAAAATGATAGGGGAGTATTCGGTAAGGATGTCTTTAAGAGTTCTCAGTCCCCATTCCTACATTCCATGCATTTACAAGTAGGTCAGGTGGAAAAATGCTCTAAATCTGAACATTTAAAACAATAATATTTATTCCTCCACTTTGCATTCAGTTTCGATGTGCTCATGCCCACCTTGTTATTGAAAGGAAAGCAATCATAAAAAAAAATAAATAAATATAAAAAAAACATTATTCCTGAACCTAAACGAAAGTTTAGCAAAAGTGGAACTTACTAAATGCCAAAGTACCGAATTCATTTATTTTAAGGCAAGAAGAGGAAATTTTGAGGTGAAAGCAATGAAAACCCAAGAAATTTTACAAGTGAGATTCAGCATGATCTGAAATTTTCATGATCTATTTTGTAACTGGCTCAGGAATGAAAATTTAGTGAACTTAAAAACCAAGTAGAAAAACATCTGAAATGAGCATGAATTTACGATAACTATGCTCTAACAATTTTGTGTAGTTTCCAACTTATTGCAACTATCAAAGCAAATATAAATGCCTGAGGGAAGGCATTTTCCCCCTACAGTTCTTCCTTTTTTTATAGGAAGTACATCTAGTACTTTCATAAAGATTTGAAAAATAGTATGTTCTTAATTTCAACCAGATAATTAATGGAGTTACATATGATTGACCTGGCAACACCATTTTGAATCTGGTTTTTCTCAAGCAAATTTTTCTTTTCTAATAATTGACCAAGTTTTTTGCTTAATTTCATGCTTTGTAGTCGGTCTTTGTATTCATCCGGATCACTCTAAATTATTCTCCCTCTGTAACATCCTGTGGATTGCAATCCCTGGTGGTTTGCTTGCTTTTAATGCAGGTGTAAAAAAAATTTTTAGCATGAATGTTATTTTGGTGCAAGAAAATTTGTGCTTGCACATCTATTTTCAACTTTTTGTACCTAGGGTCAGGAAACATCTTAATGGAATTGATTGTTTTCTTGGTATTTTTTTCTTCTTTTTTTTTCAAAATTCATAAGTAGGTGGTTATGAATTTAAGGTACATCAAAAAAATGCCCACACCATTCATTTTGCCTCTATCAACTCTTCTCAGAAATTTAACAAAAAGGAATGAATCAACTGAAGTTTATCAGCGATTTCTTTATTCTGGGAGGAGGAGATAGGCGGTTCTCAATGTATTTAACNGGGGGGGGGGGGGGGTGTTTATGTGCATAATGGGTGCATATCAGGGTGCACAGAGATCAGAGGAGGTGAAAAACATTATTTTTAGCGCTACGTACTAAGTAAATGGCGTACTAAATAAGTAAGTGCCGCGTACTCACGTCTCCCAATTTTGCAATCCACAAAGATTTAAAAATCGAGTACGCCAACCGTCGTGCCGTGCTCAGCGAAAGCGCCGTATGAGTATTCGAATGTTACCAAATTTTCTCTTTGAAAATATTTATTTTTGAAGAAACTTATGCACATTTTCCTTGACATTCTCACAGTTTATAGCTCAAACTACGAACGAAACCATCAGAAAAATCGGAATAGAAATATTCCCAAATTTTCCCGAAAATTTGTGATTCGCCGAATGAAAATTGGCAACGCCTGATGGTTCTTAAGGCGTTTTACCTTAGCACGACAGCACTGTTCCACCGTGCTAAGGAAGAACGCCGTATGAACATTCGAGAGTTGCCAACTTTCCTTCGATAAAATGTTTATTTTTGAGGAAAGTGATGAATATTTTTCCTTGAAATTTTCAGGAACTTTAGGTGAAATTACGAACAAAATTATATGAAAAATTGGAGGAAAAATATTCGTAAATTTCCCCGAAAATTCGTGATTTACTAAAGGAAATCTGTCAACGCCTGAAGGTTCATACGGCGTTTTTCCTTAGCACGGCAGTGTTGTAGCCTAGCCTTTTCCGGTCAGCGCAGGAAATGTATTAAGTTGTGAGAGCCCTTGGAGAGCTGAAAATATCTGAGTTTAGTATCAGTCATAGCGGTTTCCGCTGTTCCACGAGAATGGAAGGAGGGTGGGCGTCTTGGACGAACACAGAAGCCATAGAAACAAGTCGACTGACACGACCCTGGTCGAAGCCCTGTGTCATATTTTTATGCTCAGCTTGATTTTTGCGAGTCTCGCTGCAAATACGTTGACTAGTAGCGTGGCGTGCTTCGCGATCTATCGATTGACTTGCCCTTTAAATGTATGGGAAAGGGTCGATGAACAGGGTGCTCGCAACGAACACCTCAATAATCGATTCTGTACCATAGCCTCAAATGGGGAATTATCGATAATCGATCATTCCCGCTTCGCCGCGTTACTCGTTTCATCTGTATGTTTCCCCCACAGAGCGATCAGAGAACGGAATCGGACGGTAAACGTAATGTGAGGATAATTAGCTTTATTTTAGGCCACTTCCGCCGTACTGGATTTTCGAATTTTGAAAATTTTATTTGAAATTCAAGTTCCCGTCCCAAAATACCCCCCTGCCACCAAGTTGCACTGAAGTCCGTCGACCATGAGCCGAAATAGCATTTAGGGCCACTTCCACCATCTTGAATTTCGTTTTTTAAAAACTTCAGTTGGAATTCAAGTTTCCCCTTAAAAGGTACCATATTTCATTAAGTTAACCAAAATCGATCGAACAGGAGCGCATATCCTAGAATCAGTAAGACTACACAGTGGTGAACTATACCGGTCAATTTACATAAATTAGTGCGCCTTCATTTTCGAATGATACTGTGCAATGCTTCTGTGGTGGAATAGTTGCACAGAGCGCCTTCCAATATATCCCTTTGAAGTTTGACTCGATGGCGGAGGATCACGATTATACCGCTGAAATTACTACCAAGCGCTTGCGCAGTAACACATTTTCTCATCACCGACGCATTCATTGCGACGATGCAAGTTATTTATCGCCTATTTTCTGTGGAGAAAATACTCTAAAGTGTACGGATATTTTCCCGAGGTATGATGAAAAATGTTATTTTCAAGTCTATATACGTACGCTTTCATTAAAAAAGGGGAAAAGAAGTACTAGTAGGAACCTTCGAACGAACAGAAGCGGACCCGAGATTTATAGGGCCCTTGAAGTAAACGTACAGAGGATCGCAGCAAAGAGGCATTGTCAGCCATTGTTAATAGGATAATTCATTGTTTTTGCCGTGATGCATGTGTCATCTTTGATTCTAAGTTGACCGTTGACCTTGAACTCTTTATTCAGAGAATCGTGAAGCGAAACTGGTCATCGCTAATTTCTGCTTCCGTCGCGTCGCTTCGTTCTATGAATGGAGGCCCCCCCCCCCTTTGACACCCCTATTCAACTTTATTGCAGCTCATTTCTCTGTCTCCATGATTGACACCTAATGATTCACTTTCCTAATCGGATTGTTTTACAGGAAGGTTCCCTGTCGCATTGGTCATCGCTCATTTTTTTTTTTTATTTCCGTCTTCCTTGAAGGTCTTCGCTTTTACGTCCAGAAAAATTAGAGTTCTTTATCGGTAGAGAACAAACTTCTTCAGCTTTTCAACCAATCGCGTATTTCTCGCGCTACTGAGGTGAAAACGCGTAATTTCTTGTCCTCTTACAAACCGCTGAATTAATCGCGAATATTTTTGAATGCTGATTTTTATGAATTTTTACAAAAATGTTATATGTATCAACGCACATCAAAGCAGGCATCAAGCGCGCAACTATTTGAACTTCGGAGTTGGCATGTGGTATCACCCGAAAATGAAGGAAAATCCTAGCTTTTCGCCTGTTTCAAATTACTAATGTTTATGAATAGGCATTATGCACGCATAGTTGTATGCGGAAACCAAGTGCGCAAATATTCGAACCGTGGAGCAGATATGTAATATCACCCGAAAATGAAGACAAATTTTAGCGTTTTGCCTGTCTTAAATTATTAATCAACCGGAGTGTCAACCGGAAGTGAGAACATTTTCCTTTTCTTACTCACAATGAGTAACGAGCTAGTTAGGTTAAGATGAGGAAATAGCTCGAGAAGACAGAGATTAAAGTGACGCGTCTGGTAAGCAGTGAGAAACCTCATAAAAGTAAGGCGGAGAGCAAGTTAGTCACTTGTTTCGCAAAGAAAGAAGGGGAAGGGTGCGGCAAG